TTGGGAGAAGACTGGGCGCCGTGCGTGGGTGAAGTCGCCCGGCTGCTGGACGCTCTCGTGCGGGCGAACGGCGGCGAAGATATGGAGTTCTCCGTCAGAGACCCCGTGCTCACCGCGCTGACCACCATCAATCACGACGCTACAGCCGCCGTGACAGCGATCTTGTCGAAGCGTGCGGACGAGCTGAAGGAGATGGAGGGAGGTCGTCTCAGGTCCAGCACGATGAGCCCGAAGGCGACCAAGCGCGCTCGACGGTCGGCTTCAGCTTCGCCGATCAAGGCGCCGGGATCGTCTGCGAGTTCGAGGTCGAGAGCGCGGGGCACCAAGAAGACGCACGCAGTTGGGGAAGCATCGGCGATGGGCTCGGCTGAGAAATGACTATCACCTATAGTTACCATGTATAGTTTCTTGCTGTATCTGTAGAGTACGCCTATGATCAGTCGTGAATGACGACATTTGCCAGGTGCACGTGATGGTCGGGAGAAGCCGGTTGATCGGGAACGCAGGCGCGTCGCGCCCCGTCAGTTGCATCTTGCCTTCACCGCCCCGAAACCCTTGGCCTCGAAAAGAAGGTCAGACGTCCGTACCGCTGAGCGGTTACCAACGCAGGGAGAAGTAGGAGATGGATGGCTTGATAGGCAGGCAGTGCGTGTCGCGACACTGAGGTGCGTGGTGTGAAATTTTGCCTACGCGGGTTGTCAATTGAACATCCATTTAGGTTGCGCGCTTCCTAATGCTGGCTACCGATGTGAATCGACTCGGTACGTTCTCGCGCCACGTCCCGCTTGTCCGTTCTTTACACCCATCCCATACCCTTCATTTTCGGCGGTTCCGGTTTGCGTTCAATTTCTTATTCGAGTCCGTCTGGAATACTTATTCGACCGTCTCATTTCATAATATTAATCGAATCCCTCGCTTGGAGTACTGAATCAACCGTCTCAGTTCGAATTCTTGATCGACCGTCTTGGAATTCTTAATCGACCGGCTTAGTTCGATTACTTAAATGAATAGTGTACAGTACCTTCTCAATCGAGTGATGACGTCGTTGACTTGCTCTACTGATTTGAAATATGGGTTCTCGAATTCTTAATTGAGCTTGCATGTAACCTCTACTGTGTATGTTCTCTCGCTAATAACTGGGACGACAGTTACTGATATGAACTCAAATAAGAATTGCTGTGCGTGACACTCCGTACTGATTAAGTGAATAAGGTGACCTACTGGTGGGGTGCAGTCTACTCACAGACCAGACTGCGTCACGGCCAAGTTTATTCGTCTACGACTGCCTGCTAGTCCGAGGGCCAACTCGCGCGTCGGGTCTTGCACAGGACGCGCGCCGCGGCAGACATCGGCCTGACAAGTGCTTACCGTATCCCCGCCCAACGCTCCAGCAGCGTATACAATTACCAGATCGCCCTCCCTGCATGACCATAGACATTCGATTACCTCTATCGGGCGAGTTGACACCCGGTATAGTGGCAGGAAATATTTTCAAGATTTCTCAAACCTTTCCCACACCTTGACGGCGGGGTGTCGGCTATTGTGGGCTCTGTTGGTTCTTGATCCTTACATACGGTGCTCGTCCCAACATGCATCTTGGTGGCATTGTGAGGCTCTAGATATTGCAACTGTAGGTAGAGTAGAAATTGGAGAAAACCTGTAAACAGAAGAGGCCCAGAACAAACGCCTACTCGTACATATGGACTTTGGAGGGAGGGTGCGGCAGTTGAGCTCGAGCGCTCGATGTTGACGGGGAAACCCAATAGTTCCAGGCAACTGTACATGACGCGTGAGCAGGTTATCTCAGCCGACCGTCGAAGGAGCCCACTCACTGCCCAGGTCTACTCTTGTTCTTCTTGCCCATCAGCATGTCCCGCAGCATGGCTGGGCTCTCCGTCACTCCTGTTCGCGCCTTGCAATCGCCGAAGCACTTCGAGCCTCTCCAATAGCTCAGCCTCCGCATCTAAAGCAGCCTCCTGCTTCAACATCATCGATCTCCACACGGAATGTGGACCAAGACGCGAGAAATGCTCGCGCGTGATCGCCCGAGCCTCGGCGTCGGATGCCGCGTTGCGAATGCGGGAGAGCTCCAGCACTGGGTCGAAGTCGTGCGGAAAGTGCTCCTTGACAAACGCCCTGACCTCGGGGTCAGAGTTTGCGTTGCTGTAGTGAGTCAGGCCGAGCAATGCGGCCAAGCTGGGAGGGAAGGACAGCCTGTCTTCCACTCGCCCGGATCCGTCCGCTTCACCCTGAAGCTCCCCACCATCTGCGGACGACGGATCTGACAAGACGATCATCGAAGCAGGTGTCTCTCGTCCTTCTTGAACAGATTCTTCGTCTCCCACTGCTGACGATATGGATAAAGATATATTCTGTCGTCATTTGTCTTGTGGGAAGACTCACAAGCGCTAGACTGACGTCTGATCCCACCGCTGTCATTCGTAGAGGCCTTCGAGTTCTCCATGGGGCAGTGGGGGTTTCTTCAAATCGTGCAAGTGAGGGTGAGAGCAGAGGCTGAGCTCTTGACCAGGCGGCCGACCGTCCGCTGATAGGCGCGGACATCAAGCACGCGCCGGACCGGAACACCGCATTTCCCACGAGCCGGGACTCAGCGCAGGGCCTGAAACAAGCGACGTACTCATTGGCAGGAACGTTTTCGGCGTAGCATGAACCAGTGCCTATCCATACCCTAAAGATTCAAACTAACGGCAGCCAGTCATCTCAAATTAACCGATTCTCTAGTTTCCGCCGCAGGGATCGGAGGAGTGGGTACAGGATGTACATACTCGCCATATCCTTTAGTCTACTATGTATCCGCGGCGGAAGCGCTTTTGCATGATTGTATAATACTGAAGAAATCCATTCCGGCAGTCACGTTGGTTAGCCCCCGTTGTCTTCTGGGCCCTGCCCGCGCCGGCGGCTGTCATAAGTGAGACGCGATAACCGATCTTGGTATGACCCCGTCAAAAGTCGCGATGAAGTGCTATCGCGGTCGGTCTTCGGGTCGCTGCATCTGCGGTCCTTGCCAAGAGTCGCGCTATGCGCGCCGGCGCTTCCAGGGCTTAGCTATCATTTCAACGAAGACTAACGAATGCGACACGCTTACGGAACTTCGGGAACACCGCGCAAAATATGAATTGCGTTCCGACGAGTGCTTCGCCCTCGACGCCAAAGTAAACACCTGCGTCCAATACACCTGCGTCCAATGCCGCGCGAAGTGCGTCTTAAGGCCAGCCCCATTCGACGCGTATCTAGGAGCGGCACGGAAGCGAGCGCGCAAGGGAGGGAAGAAGAATGACAGGCGGGTTGCAGCGTACAAGCTAACGACAAAGTGAGATACGCGGCAAAGATCTTGCCGCTTGAGAATGACAAAATTTGAGAATACCTACCGATGTGCTCCCAGCATGCGCGACAGCGGTCGGGCCCGAGTCGCGATTTTCGCCTCCCTGCTTCGCGAAGGTTAATGTTTCCGTCGGATGGGCCAGCAAAGTAGAATCTGCATCCGATGTCCTCGGCGGCCGCAACGAACGGAGAGCGCGAAACCGCCGCCAGGATTCGCGAAAAGAGGCGCCCGGTAGAGGCGGCGTTCAAACCCGTTTTTCCGCAAATCGCGCCGATCGATTCCTTCGGCCGCGGACGCTCCCCTCATCCTGCCCCGCTCTCTCTCCGCCTTCTCGCCCGGCAAAGGCGGACGATCATGCCGTTTTGCTTTGAAAGTCCCCTTGCGGCTTGCCATCGGCGCCACGAGTATATCGTGCAACGCCCGTATCGTCACCGCCCGCATCATACGGTTGTTATAGCGATGCATTGATTCTCGCATCGTAACAAACTCAAAGCACGCCCAAGGCTCGCCGCGGCTATGACCTGATCATTCTTCGCGCGGTAGCTCATGCATACGCGACCAGGTTGTCATTGACATTCTTAGTACCATACGTTTGATTCCCAATTGACGACGCGGTCGACCAACCTCCGCTTTCTAGTTCTGTTAGGCCTCTTTCTGTTAATCTCATTTTTAACAAATTGTCAGCGCGCTATTGTCAAACTCAGTGGCAGCTCACCGTTTACTGACCGCCCTTCCGCCGCGCCACCCGTACGCCGCCCCGCGAGCGGAGGCCGAAATATCGAAACCTTCCGCAAAGTCTAGCGCCAAGCGCTCCCAACCCAGTCCCTCGCCCTCGCGTGTGCGTTGCTTAATGTCCCAACCGCATACCAGTAATGTGATGACAAGCAGTCCCACTCCGCCCACCCCTGTAGGCAAGCCGCCTCGATGCCAGTTCGTCTCGTTATGGCCGCAGAGCCCGACCTCACGTTCGCGCTTATCCGGCCACAGTGCGTACCACATATGGGGCATAGACTCGTCGACGTCGTGAACGACGAATGAGTTCGCCGCCATCTGATCCGCGGGGCCCGCGTCGCGCTCGACGTGGTCCCGATAAGTTCCGCAACAGAGGCCGGACCGCAACGCGCATGGCCGTCGAGCTCTTTCACAAAGAGATGATACAGGCTTCCTCCTGTATGATATATGTCCGGAGTCTAAGATGTTACGCCTTCGAAGTACGGCAATACTCAACTCATAATCCAGATACTTCTGCGTTACCTGACAACCACGCCGTACGTTAACCCCGCCGGCGAGTCTCTTCGCCACACCCACTGACAGGAAGCCCGTCATGCCGAGTTCTGCGAGCCACGCCTGGCGCCGCGCGAGAAGTCCGCATGATATGTTGCAATAGTGCGCGTACTCCTATAGTTCCAAAGCCACCAGCACCTCCGTGAAATCCTTAGGAAACGGTGAGTTTCTTTCACGCTTGGTCGGGGCGCACCCATCATGGTCTGCGCCATCGCCGGGTTCTTCTTCCCTTTCATCGTCAACGACGTCGTGCATTCTTTCCTCGTCATCTACCACCGCGGCATTGTAGACGGCATCGAGCCGCAGCATTTCTGCGAGCTGGCCGTCCCTGGCGCTGCCCCATTTGTTCCTTAGGTGAGATGATAAACTTCATTGCCCATGCCGGTGACGCGCCTACTTACCGTTTATCAGGGTTGACTGAGCCATAATGTGCGTTTTGACGTCGGTATGGGCGGCTGCCTTAACTTGACTGAAGGGTTTGATGCCCGCCCAGGTATATCGCAGACTCCTTTCTCACTATTGGGTCATGCATAACGCTTACATTCTTCTCAGAGACAAGTACGCGCACCAATGTACCCCTCTTGGTCCTGTAGTATACCGCGCACGAAGACCGGAGCATTTATTCGCGACGTTCGACGCCGCCTCGTCCAGTAACGGAAGCAAAGTTGAGGACGCATAAGCACGGCGCTCGTACGCAAAATACGGCACGCACTCTTCTCCGTGTACGACGCAAGTGGGGCCTTCGTGAAAGTTGTCTTTCCAATACGTGAGGTCCGCCTTGTACTGCATGCTCCGTCCCCTCCGTATCTCCGGCAGGACGTGGAAACTTGCCGCGCCTAGACGCCGCTCCGCAACGTGACGCCGCGCCGTCTCTCGAACAACCTCCGGTCGTTCCCTACCCTCCGTCACCGCAGCCACGTCTCTGACTTGCGACTCCACTTCATTCGTCCAAAGTTCCGACTCCGCTAAGAGTACGCGCGAAGGGCGGAGCTGAGGCGTTTTCGAAATGCCCTCCCACCCGCCCGAGATGTCAAGGCCCGTATTCCGCTTTGTACCGGTTTGGTTGCTGCCGCTACGCCAATGCACTTGACTGTTTGTTTGAAAGGAAGGGCGTGTCATAGGTGTCTGCAGCTTCATTTGCTGATGAGGGATGCGGATGAAGATGCTTCCCCGCGTACCGGGAAAGGACGAACGCCGGCGCTCAGAACTGCTGATCCGACAGATGGCGAGAGCGGGTATCTTGATTGGGGCTTATGTGACAGATTCCCACTTGACGGAAGGTGTGAAGCTGATGGGCCGGCTGTGCTCCACATGCCAAAAGCACGCGTCGTTGCATCTGGACGGGGCAAAACAGGAAATTTCTGCGCCACGCGCAGTCTCAGCTCGCTAACTCAGGCGATATACATAGTTACGGTCGTACGCATCCCAATCCGGGAGAGCACCAGACCAAACCTCTTGTGCACCAGCAGCAAAAGCATCAGGGAAAGGCACCACGACTTAGCTTGTACGCAAGAGCAAACAAAACACGTCGCAAAACCCGCCTATCAGCTGGCAGTTCTGTGCGCCGCAGGACACGGCAGAAGATGATCGCAGGCTTCACATTCTTTTCGCGCAACGCTCTATGTACGCGGTACAAAGGAGCGCAATGCCTGACACATTCCCTTGGAGCCCGACCGAGTGCGGTTTTTATGACAAGTGGATAGCCGACTGACCGAACGCTCGTCAGAAAGAGCACTCCTCGGGACGTACGGACGTACCGGTGACTTGAGCGCGATGGCATTTTGAGCATCGGGAGGCTTGGTTGCGCCGTGCAGGGAAGATGGGGCGACGGGGTCCCAGACTTTATTAGCATAGGCTGGGGACTGGTCGGGTCTATCGTCGTTCGCCACGGTCACGGACCGCCCCATTGATCGTCCGCTTCGGTTGGCGCGACATCTACAGAAGACATCGTACGAGACGATTGCTTTGTTGGACATGGGACGGGGTACTGGAATGGTTAGCGTGTGTCAGATATGTCGCAACAGCACAACAATACGTCTCTAGAGGTACTCACTTTTGTAGTGCTGTACCGCGAGAGGAAGATAGAGAGGGGCTGATATGGTGGTGAGGAGGGCGAGTTGATGGTCGGAGGCAAGCGCGAAGGCGACGCGCGTTCAGTCGTTTTGAGCGTCGCGTGCCGCGGCTTGTGTGGTTTGTCTTGTCTCATCTTAAGGTTGGCTCTCAATACTCGTTTGAATGTTGGATTTAGCCCAGCATTTATTGACCATCTTTCAATAAGCTGCAGGCTCGCCTGGCGTGGCGAGCCTCACTAAGCAAGCCTAGTAAGGCCCGGGCAGTGAGGAAAATCACATACAGAGATAAACAAGAATCTGCATGGGATTTGGAACGAAAGAAGATGTAGTACGGCATGTGAACGCGAGGTACATATACATGTCCGAAGCGTGGGAAGAGCTGTCAATGTCATGGTTGTAAGCCATAGGCTTACAGGAGCGGCTATCGATATTCTATACAAACGTTTTCACCACCGCCCAGAATCCGTGACTGGCCTGTATTTGAGACCTTCCGGGTCCGGATGACTTCGCGTGTTAGGCGCGCTGGAGCATGGCGTGCCGACTGCGACGGGTTTGACTGAGAGGGGACTTGTTCGTGGCGGCCTCGAGAGCGTGTCGCAGAACGTTTGGAAGGTGGCGCTTTGGCTGACGGCTTGCGGGACGAAGCTCGTGGCTCCTGGCCAGTTCCTGGAAGCGCCGTGAGAGGTCCCGACAGGGGCGGCTGGGCTTTGCCCTTCTCTGTGGCAGGCGGCGTCGGTTCGAGGCCGGGTTCGCTGTCGGTCCCGCTCCTCAAGACGCTTGCTGCAAACGGCGCACAAGTAGATTCCTGGCGCGCACGCTTTGTACGAGGTGCGTCGGCACTGATTGGTTCTTCTACGATAGGGCTGAGCGCACGTCCATCTCTCTCCGCATGTACCTCGTCCGACGACGAGAATCGCTTCCGATCCGCCTGGCGGCGGTCGGCGGATGGATTTGTGGAAACCTTCGGCAAGTGCGATGGAAGTGACGGGGCGCTTGTGGGCATCTCTGCGGAAGTCAACGGCGGCGTCTTCTCCAACGCGGTCCCTTCGCCGCGGCGTGCGTCTTCTGGTTCCACCCCGGCGCGTCTCGGCGCGTCTGAGTCCGACTCAATTGCGGCTTCGTCGCTGGCCACTGTCAGCGGCGACATAGCGTCCTCCTCTAGCGAACAGCGGCCGTGCTCCTGAGTGCTGACGTTCGGCCAGGACTGAAAGGCGTGCGGGTATTCGGACTGCGTCGTCTCGACGATCGCGGCAGGCTGCTGGAACGCGCGGTTCGTTGCTGTGGACGTCAGATGAGCAATCTGATGACCATCGTCCGGCGTCCATTCTGATTGAGTGATATCAAGCGTCCGCCACGACCCAGTGCCCGCCGAGGCGTCCGGCGGCGGGCCGCCCCCTGTCGCCTCGAGGGCGGCGTGGTCCCCCGAAGGTCCGCTTTCCCTAACAATGCCGGCGGCGACGGGCTCGTGCCCCGCGGGCATTTCCGGAGTGGATGAGGGAATCGTGCCGTGTGCAAAGGGAAGTTCAAAAGGATGTAGGTCGGCCATCGTAAGGTCTGGAGCCAGCCGCCAATCATGAAGAGAGGTCGCGGATGCCTCAGCCGCTCCTAGAGTATCCTGCGCGCGGCCGGGATAGAGTTCGGGCTGAAGCAGTTCCTCAGTTCCTCAGCAATTTCAATAATGTGCTAAACAAACTGACGGATCGGGGCCAGGCATGCGCCGAAGATGAACTTGTAGGAACAACGAAGTTCATTGACAAGGGGTCTAAGGGGTGGTCTTGTGAAGTGCTCTGCAGATACCTCGACCAGCCGTCCAGTAGTTGGTCCATGGACGTCTCTCCTGGGTCTTCGGGAGGGACAAAACCCTGTCCAGCAACGGAGGTATCGTCGCCCGTGGAGACGGTCGGTTTGACTTCTGCGTCCGCCGTCTTTATTGCCTGCAGGGGCCGTAACTTCTCTCCATCATAAGCAACGTCCCCGTACGAAGATGCGCGTATGTTTCCGTCTGAGATCGGGTTAAAGCTGTTGGACGCGTCGGTGGGGGTGGGGCTTTGCCGGTGGGGATCGGCGCACTCTGGAATCGGGCGCATGTGAAGTGCTGGCGTCGATGAAGGGGAACGCCGAACATTCGCGAGTGTTACCGACTGCGGTTCAGAGAACGTTCCGGGCGGCGCGCTCTCAACTAGGGCGGAGTTGGGGAATTCCTCTACACACCGGCGACCGCCAGGTTCCTCCGCGGCCTGAGCCGCCAAGTCCGGGGACAGCTGCAAAGGCGGGCCCGACCTATCCGCCGATGGATCGCGCACCGCCAAGACCTCAAGAGGGTTGGCCAGCGCGTGTTGTGTCTCGTTCAACTCCGAGCTTGAACGTCTCGTAGCTGGCGGCCTCGCAGTTTGCAGTAATGTCAAGGGAAATGATAGGTTCGCGGTCTCTGCACGGTTGGCCATTGAGGGGGGCGGCGATGAAGAGCGCGGCAAGGATTTCGCAGTCTCTGTGGCTGTCTTGGGGTTTACATCATCTCTTCCTGAGAGACTACCAGACGAAGTGGATAGATTGGACTGTGGATCCCTTGATTCGGTGAACGAGAGCACAACTCGCCTTGTTTCTGCCTTTACCGCGGCGAGGCGTTGCTCGAGAGCTACGATCTCTGAGTGGGCGGATAATCCTGACAAACTTGCACTCTGCCATAGGTCTTCACCGGAGCATACTTCCGCATTGACCCATTCCCTCTGAAACGCCGATTCTAGACGATCATGAACCATCTCGACGAGGTTGTCGATCAGGTGTGAAATGCGTTTCCCGCGCTTTGCTTTCTCGCCCAAACCCGGCGAGGAATTAAGCCGAACGGAAGAGAATACGCTACGAAGATGAGCTTCCTCGTTTTCAAAAAGTGATTCGGGCTGGCTCGCATGTGGAACGCTCGCGCGTGGAGCGTTCGTAGACGGTGAGCCCTCTAGGGAAGGGCGGCTGTCGGTCTCCGAATCGTCTTCACGATCTTCCTCCCACTCTGCCGAATCAGAGCGCTCAGATACAGGGGTCTTTGGGTTCAGTGCACTTCTCTCGCTGAGAGATCGAGCACCTGTGCGGCTCCCAGGCTTCGTGAACTTGTCCACCATCTCGGCTAATAGCTGGTTGTCCTGCTCCTCAGCACTCAACCACTGCGCCCATAACCGTCGCCGATCTGCGGCTGCCTGTATACTGTCGATCGTGAGCTGCCAGTTGAACCCTGAAATGGTGCTGCAATCAATGTGCAGGTATCGATAGCAGATCTAAACGACGTACTCGTAAGAAGCCACCACCGAATCTTTCCCAACGGCACCATCTCCGTGAAGGCTGGCTCCCCCGTGACGATGCGGCGGGGAGAGATAATGAAGTGGTTTCGAAGGTCCTCCGCGACGTTATGACCGCTCATTGAGATTACGAGCCCAGCGCGAAACTTGGCATAGCCAGCGATGGTGTGAACCGGCTTTGTGGGCGCCGATCCTTCGTACAGCAGCTGTATCTTACATGAAGGGACTGGGTCTACTATGAGGTTGATACTCGACGCACCATTTCTCCGTACAGCAGGTCGCAGTACGTCTTTATTCGCTCTTCATAATTCGTCTCTTTCTTCTTTCTTGTTGCGAAATCGGAAACCATAACGTAGGCGGTGGCGAAGCGGTGGCCGAACAGCTGGGAGCGCCATATAAACGGCTGGGATCTCAAGAAATCTGTGTTGTAGACGTCTAAGTCGACGATGGATATAGTGGGCGGCGTGCTTGCCGGTGGCATAGAATATAAAGCGGCCTGGGTTCGGGACATTGGTTCGGGAGACGATTCACGATGAAGAAGTCGTCACGCGACGGCGGCCGTAGTGGTTGCGATTCAAATTGGTCCACGTCACGAGAGAGGTCCCTCGGATGCGTCCCAGGCCCGCCCGCTGTAGCGCCCGGTTGCCATTCAGTGCGCCGCCGTGAGAAGACCGAGTCAATGACGACGCGGAGTGAGACAAAAGCGACTCGCGTGTCAGCGAAAAGACAGATGCACGGGAAAGTGACAGTTTTGTGATGAACTCCGAAGAAATAGCGCAGCCGACCAGCGCGTTCCCATCTCCGAAAATGCGACAGTCCGCGGACATGAACTCCGCCACTCGCGGCCACGAGGAAGTCAAGGAGAATCCTATTATAAAGTTGGATCCCAAAGGTAACAGACGCGCGTATACTAGGTGACAGATAAAGACGGGTATAGATTGAACATTACAGCAACCGACTGGTCAGGGAGCAGATGATGTAGGGCCCGCAGAAGGAGAAGAAGTCCTCGGTCGCTTGCTGGACGGACCGTCCGACGCCGCTTCGCCGACGTCATGCACAGAAACCCGCCGTTTGCGAGACATGGGCAAAGAGTCCCCATCAACGTCCATCTTGTCTGCGGATGCGTCGGAGTTTTGAACGACCGGTGACGGATCGCCGCCATTGGGTGCCCCGCCCGACCCCGAAGAAGGCCGCGTATCTTCTTCCGCTACTGCTTCATGAGCCTTATCGCCTGTCGGCAAAGTAGCATTGCCTGCCGCCACGGAGGATGGGATGAGTGGAGGCGAGGAAGTTTGCTTGTGGGCGGCTTGGGGAAGCAAACCCGAAGAAAGTGACAGCTGCGCGAGTTTCTCCTCCATTCGACTTGCCATTCGTTCTTCCAACGCTTGAATTTCAGCTCGGCGGCTATCAGCCTCCGCGCTCACGGTCTCGCGCATGGCGGACGCCCCGCGCGTGATTTCCGCGGCATGCTCCCGTAGAACCCGCGCATCCTCCTTTGCTCTTGCCTGTAAAGCGTCCATCTTTTGCTTGAAGAGAGTACTGACCGACTCCTCTGTCCGGTTAACGGCAGTCTGCACATAAGACATCACCTCTTCTTCCAACATCTTCGACGGTCCGGGTGACGCAGCTGCGGGCGTTCCCCCCCGCACAGCCGAGTTCGACGCGTAGGAAGTACGAGCATCCAGCAGAGGGGCAATACTGTCCATGAAAGACTTTTGATAATTCAAAAAGTCTTCCTGACGTGTGGCGGCCTTCACAGACGCATCGGCGCCTCGACGGGAATTCTCCAGCGAGGAGAGAGCAACATTCGTGAGGCCTTGCACTCCCGCATTAAACCCTAACAGGCCGATGTGCAAGGTGTCGTGGCGTTGCTTGGCCAGGTCGCGCTCATCCAAAAGCTTTCGTTCCATCTCAGACAATCGATGCTCATTCTGGCGACGAAGCTCGTCCAGGTCCTCCCAGCTAACGCTCGGCGGCTTCAGATTGGCGTCCGGACGATGCAACGGTAATGACACAATGCGCGGATGGTCGCGCGCCGCGCGAGGAGGGGGCGGACTTTCGGGTTCCATGGGGGCCACGCGCCGTCCGAGCGGCGTTTGGGGACTGGGCGAACGCGAGTCCCCGTCCGACGGCAGCGGTGGCGGCGGAGAGTCGTCCAGCTTCGGTGGCGCAGAGTTTCGGTGTCGCGCGTGAGCACCATAGGGCGGCATATCACCTTGCGTGGCCGCAGAGGCGCGCAATGCATCGTTCCCCCCCGTGCCAGCATCCGGCGGCGCAGACGCTGTGGCGCCAGCGCCTGTCGCAGGAGGATCGGCAAGATCGGCAGTGGCGGAGGGAGGGGCGGACGCGTTCGGTTCGTCGACGGACATTTCCAGATCCATTCCTGTCGAGCGATCGAGATCACGGGCTTCGGCATCTTGTGGCGCGCCGGATCCGCCAGCAGGCGGAGCGTCTGAGCCAGCTTGCGCGGGGAGGGCGCGCGGCGCAGCCGGTGATTCGGATTTGTGGTCTGCGGACGGCGCCGCTTTCGGCTTGCCGCGACCCTTGCGGTTGCGAGGTTTACTCGCCCCTTCATCCGCCGCCGAGTCGTCTTCTGCTGAAATAACCTCTGGCACGAATATCAATGAGAGATATTCGCATCAGCCTAGTGGCGCTTGACGCACCCCCGATAGCATTCAGACTCTTCGGCCATTCAGGTATCACGCCCGACCTCACTGCCTGTGTTATCAACCAAAAACGCCGCACTCCTTGCGGCTCACGATCATCGTCTGCCTCCGGCGCCTTCCCTCCCGCACAGGCCCCGCGCGTTCCGAAACAGGCGACGCAGGCGTTACGATTCTTATCAAGACATTCCCAGCCACCCTTCCGACACTTGTTACACGGCTCAATGAAGCGAGCGCCCTCCCGAAGTCCCCACCAGCCGAAGCATTTCACCAGTTCCGCCAGTGTAGCATGCGACTTGACTTTGCCGTTTGCGTCGGTGTGTCGAGCGATGATAGCCTTCAGGGTGTCCATCGTGCCCACCGCGATCTTATAGGGCGTGCGCCGCGGGTTGCGAAGGTTGTAAGTCTTAGTACCGGACATACGATGGAATTTCTCCCGTATTTCCGGCGGAATCTCGTCGTCCGACCCCGTTCCGCGAGAACTCGCGGTGTCGTCGTCGCCCTCCACGTCTGAGTCGCCGCCTATGTCGAGGTTGTCGTTCGCGCCTCCCGCATTTGCGCCGTTATCCTCGACCGCCCCTTCATTCGTCTCGTCTTCATCACTGTCGCTTTGCTGAACTTCAACACGGATTGCGCCCGGCTGCCGGCCCCCTTGACCGCGTTGATGCGCGCGCTGGGGTTTCGGCAAGAGAACCTCGACCGCGCGCTTCCCGACGCTACGGCGAGAACGCGTACTGCGAGCGGGGGGCGGGGAAGACGACGGGCTTGCCTCCCGACTCTCAGGCTCCACGGATGCGAGCGGAGAGTCGGCCTCGTCGTAGTCTCGGATATTATCCAGGGTCATGGCCATCTTGCCACCTGTATCGTTCATTCATACAAGGAAACCTGAAATACCAAGTCTGCGCACCGACAAGAGGCCACCACCGCAGCGGTCCACGAGCAAGATCTGTGGGCCAATCTGCCTCTTCCACCTCGTAATCGTCCGGACTCTCCGCCATAACGCGGCGAATCCCTTCCACTTGTTCCGCAACGCCTGCCCGTTTCATGGCGCGCATGAAATACTTCTTGAATCGCCGATAGCTACCATTTTCCTTCAAATCGATGGCATCGCGCGCTTTCTCATAAAGTACCTGCGTGACAGCGCGTAAGTAGATGTCGTAAGTTGAAGTCCAGCGTAACGCACCATCTCGCCCTTCAGAAGCTCCGCGTAGAAGAGAACCTTTTCCTGCCAATCCCGATCCCCAGTATCGTCGGATCCAGTCACAAAGTCCTTGACGGAACCAAAGGCCGCGCTCACTCGATGCCCGTGAAGTTGCTCGCGGTCAATGTTCCGATGTGCTCGCCAGAACGTCTTGCATTCGTGGTAGATGGGATCAAGAATGGCATGGGCCTGCTGAGCAGGACTCAGTACGCTTGACGTTGCTTTTGGTGCCATGTTGGATATATGCGGGAGAAAATGCGAGGGTGGGGACCGTCTTGTGAAGGACGATGATGAGAGTTGGCGGTCAAGTCGCGACGCGCCGGACCGGCCGACCTCGCGCGCCGTCGCCGGCCCGAACGGGCGCCGTTTGGGCGCGGCTATTCCGCCCGTCCTTTACTCCGTCACTTCCTCGGGACCCCGAAACGCGACCCCCATCGTCGTATATTCTCAAAGTCCCAAAATAACCATGCGTCCTACCAACAATGCTGGTAAGTAGCAGACGGCCCGTCTCATTTTAACCACGTCACAACATCCCTCGATGATCATGCAGAGAGCAAAATAAGTACCCCCCAATCTGAGACATGCTCTGGAAGCTCGTTTTGGACTCCATTCAGGGGACAAAGGACAGCCGTTTATTTCCTGTGTGTTGGGTACGATGATAAATGCTTTTACTCATTATCATTGTTCAGCTGCACGCGCCACCGGCTCGCGTCGTCAATCACCTGTCGGTGGCGCCTCGGCAGGCGTTAATTCGCGAAGTGTGAGAGAAGGTGAGTTACGCGCTTTGCAGCAGTGTTTGATCTGATATTTATGTGGGATGTTGTAGAAATTAAGATGTATATGCCCGGTAAGTCACCGAGACAATAATTCACAACGTTCTTACTATACATCGGGCTGTGGCAGGCCGCGCAATTGTGAATCACGAGGCGTTACTTATGCCCCCTCGTGAAAGAGGATATGAGAGGCCTCTTTTCGAAAGCGACGATGATAGCGATGCTCCGCTAGCCGCATTGGAGCATCTTGATCGCTTCGACGGCGCACGTTCGGGTCAGAATATTGGAGGTTTCGACGATAGCGAAGACGACGACGCGGAGGAACCGTTGGCTGTGCTTGATCGGATAGATCGCGACAGTGAAGATCGCGAGTTTCCATCGCCCGTAAGTTCTGTCGTTCGCAACTTTATCTTAGACGAGTGGCTCATTACGACGCAGAGACACCAACCGCACGATACTGCTATGAGCAGCGATGACGACGAGTCTTCCGTGGACGACGAAAGGCCCTTAGCGGCGGTTGAGCGCCTGCGCCGAAGTCTTTCTCAGGAGAGCGTGGAAGACAGAGAGATGCCCTTGGCTGCACTGGAACGACTGGAACGCGTCAGCGCTAGTCGAACTGCAACCTCCCCTGAGGTGATAGAAGTAACGGACGAAAGCGATGACGACCACCAGTCCGAGCCTGTGCCACGGGCTCCCGGAGGCGCCGCGGGCGTGCGCCGACATCTTTCTCGGGAGAGCGTGGAAGACGAAGAGATGCCCTTGGCCGCACTGGAACGACTGGAGCGCGTCAGCGATAGCCGGAATGCAACCTCCCGCGAGGTGATAGAGATAACGGACGACAGCGATGACAACCTCGAGTCCGGGCCTCTGCGACGGGCTTCCGGAGGCGCCGCGGGCGATCTCGAGTCCCCGCGTGATCCCGTCCCTGTTTGCGCGGGAGTACCGCGGGATGACGGCCCGCCACGAGAAGCGCCGCGCGCCGATGTTGACGCTACCGTGCCCGCGGGCAGATCGCAAGAGAAGGGTAAGGATAAGGCGACTGTGCGCAATACGCGCGCCGTCGGCTTTCTCCCCAAGGAGCTTGGGTCCGTCGCAGATGACGAAGATGTAGACAACCGGGTGCGTCTTCTGCCCAACACCTACACTGCGGCCGGTCTGAAAGAATCTTCCCCAGAAATATAACGCGAACACTCGGTTGCGGCAGTCCTACGGTGTAGAAAAGGACGACGCGATCCCTGAAGTATCCTACCCTGGCTCATCTCACAAAGGTGAGTGTCTATCTGAATACAGAAACAACGCTAACGACCTGTAGTGCCGTTCACATACTGGAAACGGAATGAGGATTTTCATGAGCGATCGTTTCCGACCGAGTCTTCTTATCGGCAACGACGTTATAAGCACGAAAAGGTTGCGGTGGAGAAGCAAGCGGATATTATACAAAGAGCCCAAATGGCCCTACGATACGTGCGCTCTCTCAGGATGAGTGTGATCGGAATCATTGAGGATCCGTTCGTACAACGCGCTTGCGAGATTCAGGGAGTCAAGATTCAGGTTACAGGAGATGAAGACGGGGACACCAAGGGCTCAGAAGCGATGGATACGGACGACTGAGGGTTTTTTGTGGGATTGCTAGCATTAGAGAGCGCGTGTGTAGTATCACGAATCGAAAGCTGTGCTGATGCCCGCCGTGGTTGCCGCTTGCGGGTTTTTGCGCCGCGGACGAGGGCGGGGCGCGAGTGTCTTCGGTCGATCCTCGGCCGCCTCTGGAAGAAGGGCGGTCTTTCTGAACGCTGCATCTTCGCCACCGGGTTCCTCGCCCGGACTGACGGCGACTGGGTCGAGACTGAGCCTCGCATGAACTCCGCTCCCCTCGGTATCCTGGTTCGAAAACGCGCTGACAGCCGGACCGGAGGTCTTGCGGGGTATGGAAATTGTGGGCGGCAATTCGTCATCGGAATCGATAGGGTCGCTCAGGTTTCTGTCGTCACTCCCATCGGGTAAGAAGAGCGGAATTCTAGCGGGGTCTGTCGGCGATCCAGTCGACGAGCCGCCAATAGACGCGCGGCGGTACTTAGCGGGAACTCGCGTCTCGCCATTCGCTGCCTTTCTCTTGTGCGAGGACGCGTCGGAAACATTGTTGGAGGCTGATACGGCTACGGCATTCCTTGCGTCCGACTTCAATGCCCTGCGCGACGTTCTTGGCCTTCGCGTGCGATCGGACGACGGGTCCGCGTCGATTGCGCGAGCCTTCGGACGAACGCCTCGCTTATGGCTGCTCCCAGTCCCGGTTGTAAAGATGGGTGGCTCTCCTGTAGTGTACTGCAAGGGACGATGGACGTGATCGAGGTCGGGTAGGATCAGAGGATCAGCCGGGGGTTTCTTCGGATGTATGCTTTGGTGAGATGCCAAGTTCTGAGCATTCTGATCGTTTCTGAGTCTCTCATTGGCCTTGTATAGATCTTGCCTTGCTGCCGCTTGAGAGACGGCCGCTCGCAAGCGTCTCTTGAGAGGGTCCGCTTCGACCTCCCTCCTGTGAGCGAGGAGATCTCCGTCCACGTCCTGGGCGTGTCGACGTAGCGCAGCTTCCGCCGCAGTCTCGCCTTCAGCGGCGGGTGGCCGACGGGCAAGATGTGGGGACCTCGACGCCGTCGAAGAATTCTCCAGCGCCTTACAAAGTTTTTCGGACTGTTCCGCTGCTGCCGAGAGTAGATCGGACAAGATCGCTGCACAAAGGGATGCTTCGGCGAGAGGAGAGTTGCGGAGGTACGCCGGAAGGTCGCTGGCCGGAGCAAGAATCCGCGATAGCTCCGCGGCTACCAGCGCGAACTCCAACAGCGCCGATAAACCGCTCTCGGCGGACAATGGCCCGCCCTTCTCGTCCAGGAAGATGGTGGGTTGAATGAACGAGCGTCTCAATGCTCCCACGTCGAGGTCGCTGCGCATGGAACTTCGTGGGATACCCATGTGCGGAAGTTGCCAGACACTCCGGCCTGAAAATACGGGCAACGAGAGGTTATCTTTAGACCCGGTTCTCGGCTGAACGCGCTTTAGCTTCCGCGGACCCTCCTCAACAAATGAGACTACGTACCATATTCAAAACGTGCTCTGCAAGATCTTGAAGTTGAGGCGCGTCTTTGATGATGTGCAGCACGTACTGCTCTCTTGACGGGAAGTGGCAATACGATAATGTCGGCGGAAGACCGGGAGACCGCATGGATAAGGCAAGGTCTTCGAGGTAGCACTTGAAGTCGAGTAAAATGACCCTGAGTTGGTCGTTCGTCAGCGGAAAACGATAGTCTCGTATCTGTTTCTGCCACTCTGGTCCGCCGGACAGCGACCAGCGGCTCGGGGGGCTGACGAACGCCTCCTCATTCTGCCTGAGCGCCCGCACGTATAATACGCCTGAGAGGCCAATAATCCACGCCATCTGCACACCAGAGAATCTCTGTTTACCCTCGTGCTCGAACGACCACGGCTTCGCCAGCAGAAAGTCTGAGAGGCCGTCGATCTCAGTCTGCGTCTCTATATAACAGCGTTCGGCCTTCCAGGATACCCACGTTGGATAGCTTTCCACAGTCCATTTTCGGCGCTTACCTGCCTGTGGGCGAAAGTACTCTGCGTCATAGTCGTAGTTTGCTACTGGCTGCTATTGCGATTAGGAGCTTGGAGCGTCGGCATTGAAAGAACGCACAGGTAGAATTGCTATCCATTTAAGAGCCTCAAGAAGCGTCTGCGCCGCCATACCTCCCGTCTCTTGGAGAATCTGCGACGCCCATTGCAGCCGCGCGTATACTGTGTCGGGAGCCATCGATGGCGCCGGCCAAGAAGGACGTCCAGGACGGAAAGGCGGGGGTGGACAGCCGGATACGTCGTCTGGATCGGGGAGGGGGCGGCCTTCCGGCAAGGAAATGCAGCTGTCGGGCAATGCAGCGTAAGGAGAGTTGCTGGGAAGGATCACGCGGGGCCCGTTTCCGCCGAACTTGACGTTCACAACCGCCTCGCGATTGGCCGAGGAGGCAGACGGCCCGGCTCGCGGTCCTCGCGGAGTTCTCTCGTTCGAAAGCCACTGGCCCGTCAAGTCTTTGTCATATTTCCGAAGCCCATGCCACGGCTCCTTCTCCGGTTCGCATATCAACCCGCCGCGAGCAAAGTAATGGTGGAATTCGAGATACCCGACTTCCTGAAACCAGTGCTTTATCAAGGCATTCCTGACTTGGGCGTGTGTCTTTTCTGGCGAGCTCCCGAACCGGTGATCCTCGTCGAGAAGACACTCCTTTGCTACCAGACGAGACGGATTCTCGCTGAGCGCCTTCCATGGTGGGGGCGTTTGTTTGGATCTAGTTATAGCAGCTAACCCCATGTCACGGCATGTTAAGCTGGGAAATAACAAAGTGGCTACCGACTTACAGTGGCAAAATTGCACTAGCTGATAGAAGACGTGAGATGAGTTTTCTTCCCATCCTTCTCTCAGTCGGTCTTGAGACAGATAGACGCGTCCATCTACTATATCCTCCTTCCGGAACTCGTATTCGGCGGCCTTCAAATGCTCGGCGGAGCGCATGGGCGGCGGCTTTTGAGCATCGGCTCGGTACAACACGTCTAATAATCAATCAATCCACCTATTGAGTCCTCCAAATACAGGCGTATCAATATTCATGTTCACATATGATTTCATGTCGCGAAAGACGCTCTCGAGCTTCGTGAAACTTCGGAACGTCTGCGCCGCCAAGCCCTGTTTGCGCATAACCTCGTATCTGGTTGCTCGGATGTCAGACAGCAGCACGCAGCATATATAGGAAATCTATGTCGCACAGTCCTGCAGGTATGTTGTTTCCGGGCACTCCTACATAGAATACAAAAGGAAAGACCCCGTAGTCCTTTATCAGCATCATCGTGAACGCACGGCAAACAGAAGCGAACTTGTTATTAAAGTTCCTGCGCGTGGATGAGTTTGACAGGATTGCTCCTGTCCCGGCTTTACGCACTGGACCTGAACATCAAGGGGCACAGACACGCCGTTCCACTCATCAGCCGTCCGCTGACAAGCGTCCTGCTGCTCGGTGGATAGGCAGTTGAAGAGTTTGCTTCGCGCCCTCCTGTATTGGGCGAGGAATCCATCGGCAGAACCGGGAATGAATCCTGACTTCGCCTCCACCCACTCTTGAATGGCACTCTTGTAGATATGGCCACACACGTCCTCTGGCGTCCATTTAGCCTTGTCGACGTCACTCGGCAAACGTTTGAAGCCGCCGCGAATGCGCGTGTTGGATCGGAACCAATGATGCGTGGCCTAAGCGCCGAGTCGTGAGACATAGAATTCGGAAAAAAAAGGAGGCGCACCTCGCGCTGTTTGCAATATTCAAGGTCCTCCTCCCCTCCCTCTGCATCATCCCAATCCCAATCAGGGTGCGCTGAGGTCCAGATGTGACGGAAGCTGGACTGTATGATGGCAGGGCGCTCATAGTCCTCTGAGCGCACGTACTCCTCTCTTCTGCCTTCCAGGTATATGTGCGATTCCAGAGAGATAGCTTGGTCCAATAATATTTCGCGCGCCTCCTCAATGGAGTAGGATAGTGCTGCTGACATTCTATGGCTGTTCAAGCGTAGGGGAGGTAGCGCACAACACGGTCGTTGCGTCTAACAAACAGCGCCTCCCTTGCAACGGCGTCTCATACAGGCAATTGATCCTGGCTGTCAATGTAAGGTTGGGACGCGGCCCTTGTATGACACATATGAGACCGCTTTGGACGTTTTGGCAACCGCAGTCAGGCTGCGTGATCTGTATGTATCCTCCAGCCGCGCCCTACAAATTGGGTGGCTGCAGGTAGAAATCAGCGCCACTGGCGTTCTGAAAGCAAGACAAGAGCCCGGTCTCGGCAGCCCCCCAGGCGGAGCGGAGAACACCACCAGCTGCAGTCGATCCGACATCGTCTCGTAAGGTTAACCGCTTACACCCGGCCCCCCTGGGCCCATACGGCGGCGGTCAATACGAGGCATGCAAGGCCCACCGCGCCGGAAAGGGTGTTGACGTGACGACGTGGTACCAGCCGGCGTTAGTGCCGCCAGAGAAAGTTATGTTGATTGGACAACGCAGAGCCTTGGTAATGGAGAGCGATTGCTCACAAGTCAAGCGCGCTAAAAACTCATGTCGCGTAGAGGGAGTCGTAGGACGCAAGGCCTCGTCTCGTGTTCTGCCGCACTATGCCTTTCAGGGAACAGCCACGCGCCCCGCCTATCATTCGTATCAGTCTAGTCACAACTCAAGCGCCAGTCGACCGAGAGCGACTTGGAAAAAGCGCTCGAGGGCGGCGGGAAGGAGTCTGGCTCGTGACGGCGGAAGCGGAGAAGCGGATCGGAGTTGCGGTGGCTCTGCTGGCGGACGGCGGGATCCGCCCGCAATGATGAGAAGACAGACGCGTGATTTGATGACAGGTCGAGCACTACAGTAGACGGGATCCGTGTGAAGAGTAGGCTTATGTTCAGTACACGAAAGTTGAAGATGAAGCTAAAGTGGGAGCGAGGCCCGTCGCCGGCGGTCGCCGAAAGTCGATAACGGGCCGGTCCCTCCTGAGAAGCTGGAAAAATCTAATTTCTTCGTTCAGAGCGTTCGCTGAGGCGGCGCGCGCATTCCTGCTCTCAATATTGACAGCACGTACCTTCGCAGAACAGGAAAGAAAACAGTCCCGTCATGCGTGCTAAACATGAACCACTGACGTTGTATGCCGCCCTCAAAGCCTCACATTCGTTAGCGCAACTCCCGCGCGTCATGTCACTCACGACGCGGCAGTACGAGCGCAAGATCACGATGACGCAGATGTAACATTTGTAGGCTATGTCTGAGTTCAGGAAGCATGGAACTCGCAACGCAGTCTCTGACGACACCGTTATTGAGGGTCCCGACGCCACCCTCGGCAAAACCCGCGATGAGCGGGCGCGCGTCAAGAGAGCCTGCGACTCGTCTGCGCGATACATCCACGTAACGAATCGCGAGACACGCGTCCACTCTCGCTTGGCCGCTGACTTTTGACTACAGCCGCAACCGTCATTCCACTATTCTGAGCTTAGTTATCGACTAGACGCGCTGCCAGAATAGCCGCGGACCATCAGAAATGCAGCGCGACTTGGAGTACTTCCGTGACCTGCACCATCAAACTTCCCGGCCGCGCAATGCAGCGCTCGAAAAGGACACGTCTGCATCCGTTAGTCGTGGCGGTCCAGCCGGGAGAGGTCGCGGACGCGCACTCAAGCCATTTCGGGGAAGAGGGCGCCGGGGCGTCATGCTCGCGGCTGAAGACGCACACGAGGGCCACCTCTCAGCACTTCCACCCATAAACTCATACGGGAGGCAGGCGGTATCTTCTTCAATGCTCCATGCGGATCGCGGATTTCAATATGCTGACGGCGCTCCGATATTGCCCGCAAAGCGGAGGCGTACGGGAATGACGGATATGCTTTACGGGGATGATTTCCCATCAGAGGACGAGTCGGCTGGTCCTCTGACGCGCAAACAATCTGCAGGGAGCCATGATGCAGCGGCTCAAAGCCCGGCTAGCGACGAAGATGAGCAGTTTATCTCGGGCGAGGAAACGTTGTCGCCGTATGACTTCTCGCAGGGATTGACATTTGAGGAAGAAAGAGCCGACGACATCAAAAATCCTTCGTCCCGTTTGGCCACGTACACGCATGAAGAGTTACGCGGGCCGGCGACTGCGTTTGGACTTCCTGCGTTTCCGCATCGTAGCAAACCGCAAGAAGCAAACGTCATGCCGATACCCAACGGTCCACCAATTACAGCATCGGGCCCGGTGCGTAGAATGCTTAAGTATCAGAGAGAGTCCAATGTCATCCCGTACCAGACCCACGTGGATTACATCCGCGAATTTGCCGCCACTGCACTTGCGCCCATCAGAGCGTACGCTATCCTGGAGAGAGAAGTGCCACCGCCGCCTCTGTGCGAAATTTGTCAAGAAGGCGGAGAACGCGCTCCGACATGGCGGTGCGATTGCTGCGACGAGCAGCGCTATCTCTGCAAGCGCTGCATGGCTAGCGCGCATTTCAAACTACCTTATCACCGTGTGAAATGGTATAATGGTCGCTTCTACGAGGACGCCTGGTTACGGGACTCGGGCGTTTACATCGCGCTCTGCCCCCGGCGTTTAGGAGGGTCTTGTCCGACAGCGCCGCATAGGCCGGAAGTGCCGGACGGCTTCTGGTCCGCTCCGCCCCCGCGCTACGTCGCCGCAGACGTATCTCCAATTTCTCCTGACGGATCCGATCGCGACGCTTTTGAACCCGACTCCGGCGCACATCCCGCCGATCCACCCGATCCGCGCTTTGGCTCCGAGCCTCTCGATGAAGGGGAAGTCGAAAGCGGCGCGGCGCCCCTCGACGACTACACCGAGCCGTGGACCCGCAGACCGGCGTCGGTTCCTCCCGTTCGTCCCTGTCATTCACGGGAGGCAGAATACGATCCGCGGGGTCTTCGAGCGCTTACCATCTGTCACGACAACGGCATTCACGCAATCGGAGTTCAATTCTGCGCTTGTAGTGGGGCGGCCGCGCGTGATCTCCAGCTTATCGCGAAAGGCATCTACCCCGCCAGTAGGAAAGATCCATCTACTGGATTCACCTTCCGCTGTCTCGACAGATTCCTCATCGACAATCTTGAAAGTGACACTGCTGCAGAATCTTTTGCTCGCAAGCTACAGAGGCTCAGCATTCCTGACAACCCAGACCTAGCGCCGGTACGTCGACGCTTGACGACCCTGTCACGTATCTCACGCCCTCTTAGAATCGATATCCAGAGCTGATTCGCTGCGGACGTGAATATCGCGCAATCGTGCAGCTCATCGAGCACGGTTTTTCTCATCAAGACCTTACTAACTGGCAACCTCCCGGGCAAGGTGACTTAATATACAAATGCGTTATTTGTCCCAGCCCAGAAGAGAACATGCGCAATGGTTGGGAGACCAAGGACAATAGCTGGGCGCACTTTTACTCGTTCAACATCGACGGGAACTTTGAGGGGCAACACACCACTTCTCGAGTACCGGAAAACAATCAACCGCTGTATCCGGGAACTGGCGCCTTCAATCATCCGGATGAAGCCGCCTACGCCCTGAGACAAGGGCGCGACGATCACAGTCTGTCACAAGCCCAGGTATTTCTGTCCAGTCCTTTAAATGACCCTTCATTGCATTATTTGACGCGGATCAGAAAGATCGTGTCGGTCACATCCCGTGTCATAATCATCAGGCTGCAAGCAACTTAGGCAAGTCGCGCAACCCAACTACAGATATCAAAGGAATAGGAGCCATTGTGTGTGCGAGACATGGCTGCTTTGTCCCTGGCGCGCTCAATAACTTTTCATTGGGTGAAACGTATGTACAACACGCAATGGGGTCGTGTTCGATGCTTATAGGGGATATCATTATAGCCAGATTCCTGTTGACTACAGCCTTAATAACGCTTTTAGGGTTTGCGATTTCAGCAAAATCAGGCGACTTCAAATTCTCTACGACATAAACTGCCAGTACTCGGTGCATTTGGAGGAACGGTTTAAGGCCGCTGGATATTCGTGGCCGCATTTACAGCATCTCCTACTCGGAGTCGGCGTATGGCATATCTACGGCCACATCTTGGAGTGTTTTAGCAGGTTTTCTCCGCTCTACGCGTACCGCTGCGGCGTCGTCGACGGTGAAATCGTGGAGACGCTTTGGAGTGTCTTGAACGAGATTCTCGGATCTTGTCGCGGCATGTCACTGGCCCATCGCGAGGAAGTCATCAATTTCAAAGTTCGGGACATGAACTGGAAGAAGATAGGGAAGGCAGGCGAGTCATTCGCCTTTCTCGTTCCAGAGCCGAAAGTGACGTGAGTGTAGCCGATGCCCTGGTAGGGAGGGTCAAGAAATACACGCGGTTATATAGCAAGCGCACCGCCTATCTGAACAAGATCAGCGAGAGTTGTGCCGAAGATGACCTACGGAAGTGGGACGATCTGCGCAAGGAGTTGGAGGACCGGCGTTCCCGCCCGATGCCCGCGGACGACCGCCGCGCGGACCGACAGGACGACCGAGGTCCGCGCTTTGCCGATGGCCGTTTAGACACCGTAGAAGAAGGTTCGAGATGCGTCGGATTTATATCTTTTTGGCGTGCTGACGCGTCTCAGAGCCGAGTCTTGCAGGAGCGGAGGCGGAGCTGCTCGAAGATGAGGCTCTCGCAGACGACGGGGCTCAATTAGTCCGTCCCATAGTTGCCGCAATGAAGTTGCAGGCAGAGCAGTAAGCCTGTCGTTTACAGCCTCTTTTTTCCTCTCACTATCGAGCAGGATTCAACTCCAGATCGCCGCTCGAGAGCCGGCCGGCACCGAAGAGCTGCGGCTAGAACGGGAGAAGTGGCGAGCCCGTCTGGCGAGCAGCATCGGTCGCAGTAACTCCGCTATGGCTCGACTACTAGACGATGAGGGCGGATCGAACGCCACATTCTCTGGAGAGACGCCTCTCGCCGCGGCTGTGCTAGACGCGGATATGTGGCCGGAGACTACGATGTCAGGCCCATCCACGCGGGGGACGCGGCCACGTTCGGAGTATCGAGCGGTCGACCTCCCTTCCACGCGTTGGGACGGACCCTCCCACTATCACGAACTTGACGCCGTCAGGCAGAGGGCCATTCGTGTCGAACGTCGTCTCCGAGAAGTGGAGGCTCGCGTGCGACTGTTCAAGCTGCGGACCGCGAGTTGAAGTCGCAGTGTAAGTCGCAAGTCATGAAAAAAGTCGCCCACTGCAAGTGCCAGATTTCACTCTCGATTACTTGCCTGGAAACTCTCACCAACTTGTCACTTGCAAGGTCATGTGCACCAGCCGAAAACGTTTTTAATATTGTGGAACCTCGAGAAAGCCGCATTTCGCACGCGGGAAACTCGCAAATGCATCAAAAGATATATTTGATTGACCTAAACGGGCCACGAGCGAGCCAGCACGGTGGCGCGAGGTCGGGTGGGCTGTAAGCTGAGTACACAAGGGTCCACAGGACTCGAAAAATGTCCGAAAAATGTATAGATATTTGGCAGCTTGCCAACGAGGTGGTTATAAGTGTAGAATGAAGGGGGTTGCGAATCCAGGACGAACGAGGGTGACGTGAAGCGTGTATGACATGAGTAGGGAGGTGTGAACGAGCGGGAATATGGTGTACAAAGAGTGGAGGTGGAGGTGAAGCAGAGCGGGATGGGTATATTGCGAGACAGACGCGAGGTTTATACTAGGCGAACATGTCAGTTACGCTCGTGCCAAAAGAAAGAGGGTAAGATACATACTAGTCATAGGTGTTGCACCGTGCATCGCGGCCAAGGACCACGTCAGATCCTCCACAATCGATGCGGCTTGAGCTGCGAGAGCGGGATTCTTGCCGAGCTGGACGAGCCACGAGAGCGCGATAATGAATATGCTAAACCCGTTAGCACCACCGCGCCGATGGCCCGACCAGTCTGAGTCGCCGTCTTGAGCTCGGCGCAGGAGCGGCCACTCGAGCTGGCCGACGCGCCAAGCGGGCATCGAGGCTGTATACCACTCGCGCAGGGAGTCGGCGTAATCCTCAGGTTCCGCGATCGTTGGCGGTTTGTTGTAGATGCGCTTCCGAGCGATCCAGTACGGGACTTCCTTTGGGCGCGACGTCGTTGTGAGTTTGTGAAGCGGGTTCTAAAATCGCGTAAGCATGCAGTTATCAGAATGGAAGGATAGAACATACCGAGCCCGATGGATATCCCAATACCATCTCATGCATGGCGTAAAGCTTCAGCAGCGTGGCCCACTCCGAGCTCGCGCTCGCCGACGCGAGAGCGCGCAGAGCATCGCAGAGATACGCGCGCTCGGCGTTCCTTCCCTCCAGACCAGAAATGTGCGTGATGCACTCTCCAACCGTCATAGTCTGATATTGCACAAGGACGAATTGAGCCTGTGTGAGCGCGGGCGCACTCGCGGCTGCGGGAACGAGATCAAGGGGGGGCTCAATGGGAGGCTCAGCGGGCGGCTCGATGGGTAACGCGGCGAGTTGCGCGGCGGGTTGCGCGGCGGACGGCTCGGTGGGTGGGACGGCGGATGGCTCGACCGGCTGCTCGACCGGCTGCTCAGCGGGCTGCTCAGCGGGCTGCTCAGCGGGCTGCTCAGCTTGCGCATCGCCTGTGGTTTCGGCGGACGTGGGAACAGGTGCCACGGCCAGAGTCGCTTCCGGAGGAGCGGGCGCAGGTACAGGCGTAGGAAGAGCAAGAAGAACGGGATCGATTTGTGGCTCTGGCGAAGGTTCCGGCGGGAGGGTCACAGGCGGATTCTTGTGTGTAGTCGGTATAGGGCCAGGCGCGTCGGATTGCGCTGTCATGCCACCCACAGTTAAGCCGCCGGTGACCGGAACCCCGCCCTGGTCTGCGCCGTAGATAACACGCATGTTATCAGACCAGGTCGGGGAAGGCGCGTAGAACGGAGAGGATCCACGACTAGAGGGTTGTGTGGAAGGCTGCGAGAGACGCGTCGAGGAGCGTGTGTTGGATGTAGAAGCCCTAAATAGATTAGATCAGATCAGACGCGGTGTCGTGATTAGCGCGCGCTTACCTGTTAGCAGGTTCAACTTCGACCGCCATCTTCGTCGCCTTGGACAACTTGATCGCATGTCTCATCTGGCGCGCCTCCAGGTACTCAGCCTTGCGCTGCTTGCGTCTTTGCAGCTTCCTCTCCGCGCGTTCTTGCCACTGCTCTTGAGTCAACCGGCCTTGTGGGCGCGGGCGCTTGGGCTCGGATGCGAAGTCAGACGTATCAGGATCAGAGTCGCCCTCCGAGCTTTCCGAGGAATCCTCGACGTCCGTCTCGTTTGCGTCGCTATCCCACTCGCTGACAGAACGTTAGCGAAAGTTCTGAGGTGAGCAGGATACAAACTTACTCGTGCTGCTTCCCCTTACCCTTGCCGCCAGACGGAACGAAGACATACTCGGCGTCAGACAGGTGCGCTTCAGGCTCCTCGGAGTCTCTGCGCTTCACATGACGCCGTTTCCTGCAATACGCTCGGTAAGAAATTCATACAATCAGCATTACAGACGTACCGCTTATTGACCTTCATCAGCTTGACGCCTTCCTCTTTCCCATCCGCGTCGGGTGCCTGCGACTGGACCTCTGGCTTCCCCCCACCATACCGCTTCCTCCGCACCGTCTCCGTGGCCGGCGTCTTGTTATGCGAAGCGTTCTTTGGGCGCCGCGCTTGCTCGGGGTTGTCGTCCTTCAGCACACGAGCTTTGCCGTCCTGCACGGTGACGACGACGCCATTGCCGGGTATCTTGTGCCCAGGGGCCGCGCCCACAGCTTGAAAGTCTATGTGAGTATTACATCATGCCACGTCTTGAAGGACACTTACCGAACGCCTTCTCCAGACTCTGATCGAACGCGCCCATGACGGTCTTCTCGAAGAACTCAGGGTTCACGCCGTACAACGTCGACTTCTCGTCGGGGGCACCATGGCAGCTATTGCGCGTCAGCATTGGGACAATACAATTATACTACGATGACTTACTGCATCGACTCCATTTGGCCGTCAGAGTTGGGGCCACCGACAGCGATACTGATCGATAGGCCCAGCGCGGAGACTCCGCGACAGAATTGAGCCAAGGTTCCAGGAAGAGCCTTCAGGGCGCTAGAAAGCAGGTAAGAATGTCGTTTTTGGAAGACGATGGTATTTGACTCACTGCTCGCGCTCTGTCTCGCGCTCCTCAGAATATACCCGGAATACGTCCAGCGCGGCAGCATGTAGTGCAGCTCGCATGTCGTCGCCGCTCCGGGATGACTGATTCGGAGGCCCGGCGCCAGCGGGAACTTCCTCAGGGTGTTGGGACTGGGCGGTGCGAGCGAGCGACGCTCCAGCGATGGTGGGACTGGGAGGTACAGCTTGAGAAGGCGTGTCGGCGTGTGAAGGCGGTTCCGCGCGCGAAGGCGCGTTGGCGTTGGGGGCGGGGACTGGTTCATCCACGTCCATAGAGTCGTGCGAGTCCCTGTCCGCCAGCTGCTCTTCGTCAGGGATGGGATCAGGCATGGGCTCGTCTTGCATGTCGTCTTCAGGGCCGGTACCGACGGCGGTAGTGTTCGCGGCTGCGTCATCCGCGGCGGCAGAGGGACGAGCGACGTCATCGCTAGCCAGGTGCGCATCGTCCTCCGCGTCAACGTCCTCATCGCTGCGCGCAAGCTGACGAAGAGCATGCAGAGCATCCGCGAAGAGCTGCGGGGAAAGGCTGAGAAGTGCGGCGTCAACATTCTCGTCTTCGGCGTCCTCGGCGTCCTCGGCGTCGTCCTCGTCCTCGTCGTTGCCAGAACTCGCGCTGACGAGGACCTTGACTACGACGCGCGTGATCTGCTCCGCCATGCTGTCCTCGTAGGCACGTCGAGAGGCGGCGTCCATCGTGTCGATGTGGGCAAAGGACATCTCCGAAAGCTCTTTGAGCACATGGACAGCAGCCTTGACGCCTCCGGGGGCAGCAATCCAGGCGGCCTTCGTAACTTCCGCGCGCCAGGTGCATAGCGCCTTGACTGGCTTCCCAGCAGCCTTCTGCCTCGCCACGTAGTCGGAGTACGGCTCCATCCCTTGGCGAACAATGGCGTCGAAGAACGCCTTTGAGAAGTGGTGCTCGAGGGGTTTCTTGCGGTTAGGCTTCTTGAGCAGAGCGACGACGGACGCGGCAGCCGTCAGCCCGGTGGCGAGGACAGGGCCCCGGGTACCACGACGAGTAGAGCGGTTGGCGTTGTTGTAATACTCGTAGATGCGCTACGCGGTGGTAAGTATAATTGCAGTACCGGGATATCGAGGTACTAACCTCACGCAAAGGCTTAGGAGCACCAGCAGGACGTTTCTTGCTCCAACGTCCGCTCTTCGTCTTGAAGCGCTCGAACTCGACTTCGGGAACGTCGTCCTCCGGCCAACGCTCGAGGTACTCGGTCACAACCTCGGGCATGAAGACGGACTTGATGGAGTTGTCGTCGCGACATTCGAGATAGCGGTCATTCTTGGAATCGAGGAAGGTAAACTTCTCGGCGTTGAAGAACGACGGCGCCATGGTGAACTACGCTGACCGGCTGACTTGCAGGATGGTAAGTTCGGGGAGGCGGGGAGTCTGACTTTCCGCCTTCGCCCTTTTCTTTGCGCTTCAGCGTGCTCTCAAGGTACGCTCGCCGATCTCCCGGTACCGCAATCAATGCTCATCAATACGCTGGTCGGTACCTTCCGTTTGGCACATCGGTGAGTGCAGATCTGCTTTGCTTTCTCATCTCTTCTTCTGATGCATGCGCGCTCCATGCAGCGCCTTTTCCTTTAAGCCGTGTGGTCCCCATTCGGTTTCTACGCTCCCCCGCCCATCTATCCCCCCGCTGCAAGTTCTTTCCAATGGCCGCCCCAGCTCAACCCGCCCTTCCCGAGGAGCAATTGGAAGTCCTCACTGGTATGTACGCCGTTCAATTAGCAGTTCTCTCTTGTTGATTGTACTGTAGCGCTTGCTCGTTCCCCTGCTGGACAGTACTTTAGTAAGCCTTTCCTGCCAACTTGTATCACCTTTCTCTGATCATTCTGCAGGTCCCTCGCTGGCAGACGCCTACCTACGCTCGCTCGAGTCGTATGCTACCAACAACGGCTTTGTGCAGCCCGCACCGAACACAGGACATCGCATCTACGCCGTCGCAAACGGCGCGAACGGTGCTCGTGTTGCCTCTGCGTACGTACACTTGACTCTATACGTTGCCTGAGGCTCACTTTCTGGCAGCGCGGAGGCTCAGGCTGACATCGTTGGGCACCCGGGTGGCGCGCTCAAAGGCTTCACGACTCCGGCGCAAGCGCGCGCATTCCTGGACGTGATCACTTATCTCCGCACTATGCCTACTATCTCGAACGCGGAGGCGACTTTGCGCGCTGCGCGTATGGCTTACACCAACTCGCTCGCACGTCTGACCGTCGCCGGCAACAAGGTACTGCCCATGCACCCGGTGACCGCGCTTCCGTACAGCGTCAAGGTCACGCCCATGGAAGTGCCTGCGTTCGTACATACCCCTCACCGCACCGCCATTGTGCTCGCGAACCATCTCGTTGAGATTAACTTTGTGAGCTTTCATATTCGTCTGGTAACTTGCCTACCTACTCACTTGCCCATAGCACAGCCTCGAGCCGCTTAGCGACCCCTCTGCGGTGTATCCGTTCGAGTCCAATAGCCGTGGCAGTGCGCAGCCAGTGACGGCTGAGCGTGACTCGGTCGTGTACTCAACATCTAACGGTGTCGAGGTTTTCGCCGAGACGAAGGACGGTGCTCTGAGCCGCGTTGTGCCACACAGCACTGTCATGCTCGACGACGGCACGGCATTCCCTGCCTACAACCCTCTCGTCCCCGTCGCACCGCTTCCTGACCAAGGCCTCACCACTGACACCTTATTCTGGGTTGTCCTTCAAGGCCGCCAGGTTGGCATCTTCCACGCCACATCGTGCGTTCTCGGCACTCTTCAATTTCTTCCTGTCCGCTGACGAGCTAACTTACAGGGACGAGATCCGTGCCATGTTGCCCGACGATGCATCCGTTGCGAAGGGCTTCATGACTCTGGAGGAGGCGTCGGCATTTTGGCATTACGAGCTCCGGGAGCACTGGCCGCTTGCGGAAGTTACGGAGGCTCCCCACATCGAGGAGCAGGCGGTCGAGGCGCTCCAGAACGTCGAGGGCCACGCACCACAGCTTGTTGGTGAACTTATCACCGCGCTTGCTCATTAGATTTTGTCTGGTACTGTACTCGTTGTAGCTTGAAGTTGTGTTGCCTTACGAATGAATATTTGTTGTTGTCTTCGGGATCACGCGTACCGTCGTTCAGGAGGTACAGATAAGGTTCTCGGGCCATGAGCGCAGTCAGTAATGATATCGTAGGGAAGCGCCGACTGGCGGGCTCGGGTTCTTGAAAAGTGCGCGCCGAAGCGCGGCAACTCCGACTAGTGCTGTGCCTTTTGTTCTGAACCCTCACCTCAGTTCGCACCATCTGCTCCGTATCTATGGTATCATGTCACCAACTGCGCTCTCTTTGCGTGTATTCGGAACAGATTTCTTTAGAGAAGCTTTGGCTCTGAGCCTGCGAGGGTAAACTTGTACGTGTCGACTGCAACGGCTGTCATGAGTTCACTGCTTGGGGTTGCTCATCCATGATAGTAGCGCAGACATGTATAGGTCTACATATACGAGAGCCTTCTATAGCACGCAACACTGTTCTACGGGCCAGAACAAATACCTCCGTAGCCAATCGAAGATCTACTTTATCTAGTCAGCAACAGCTCGGGCACAATGAACATTTCAAACAGCGACACACCTCGGGCCTTGAGGGCGATCTAGCCACCGGATGTACCGTTACTCCTACTCCTGCGCCGCCTCAACTGTCTGCGCCTCGGCTTGAGTACCTGCAACTCCGTCTTGCTCGGCAGTCGCAGCGGGCGTCTCTCCTTCGCCAGCCTCGAGGGCCGCAGGCGATGCCTCGGCGACAGTCTCCTCGCCCGTCTCGTCGAGCTGCTGGAGGACTTGCTGCGTCATGGTGTGATATTGCTCCATCAGGTTTTGCCTTTGGTCTTCGCGATGCGCGATATACGCGGGCATGCGTTCCTCGAGCCAGGAAAGCCTATCTCGGGAGAAGAGGCTCTTCTTGCCGGCGTCCTTGGCCTCGTCGACGCTCTCGAATGTGGCGGTCTCGCGGGACATGGTGAGGATGGATGGGTAAGAGTGTTATATTCTAGTCAAGTACATGCGCAAGCAGCTTATATACGGTGTACAGGACACATAGACTCGTGTACATTCACGCGGCGGAGGGCTTGGGTCTCGGAAGGCCCATGGGCCCATCATGACGGTGGAGTTGCAGCCATTGGATGATACGCTATCAGGTAAAGTTAGAACTCAGCAAGATCGCGAGGGAGAAAAGCTTACCTCGCGCAGCGTCGGGCCGTCGCCCGGCTTGTGCGGATTGTAGTATGGCAGATCCCGATGGAAGGGACCGAAATGGTTATACGCGCGATAGGGTTCGCCGGGGTAGAGTCGCACGTAGCGATCGTAGGTGCGCTGCTCCTCCTCGAGACGCGCAGCGTCACCCTTGAGGCACGCGTACTGCCAATGCCAGAGGCAGTGCTCGAGGAAGCGGACTTGCCGTTTCGTGAAGAAAAGCGACTTCCATTCCATGGGTGGCGGCGGGTTGTTGGGGTCGATGATGTCGGCGGTGAGCTCCTCCAGCTTCTTGTCGACCATCTCGCTCCTCTCGCGGCGCTTGTCGCGCCACTCGCGGCGCTGCTGGCGGCTATCGGGCACCGCCTCGGCGGAAGCAGCGCCCTTGTCGCGGCTGGTGATCTTGGGCATCTGCGGATGTTGCCTGGTAGAGAGTGGCGCCACATGTGAGCTCTTTATTCGATTTCAAGGTCGCGGTCAGGAGCCAAGCTGATGGAGCCCACGCTCATCCGCAGGTACAATCGTCAAGCGACCCTCTTACTGCTTCCACGATGAACCCATCGGATCCGACGATGCAAGGGGCTGTTGTTCGTGAGCATCACACTGATAGCGTTACCTGTCTCTGACTTTCTGCCTCAGCGGCCAGCTGTCGAGCTCGTCACGATACAAGAGGCCGTTCAGGAGGTGCTCAGTGGGGACTCTAGCGCCTCCCGCGCGGTGCGAGAGCTCCTCAAAGATCCCCTCTCAATCTCGGATCCACGTTTGCTAAAGCTTCTTGCGGATGCTGTTGCGCAAGGCTTACGGTTCCCGCGATCGGCATCACCTGTCTGTATGCATGCGCATGGTATGCGCATTGCAACCGAGCTCGAGCGCTACGGACAAGACGGCGGCCCGGACTACCTTTTCACTGCCATGGAAGATGTGGACCTGAGCGAATCTGAGCCGTTCTATTCGGCTGGCGTCATGATCACATCACCCAAGTTCCGGCTCATCCGCCGCTATCCGCCTACAGTCTTGTTCTATGTCATTGTTGACAGTGCTCATCGTGGTGTGCGTCTTTGCACCCTGTACGTAGACTCTACTTTCCTCACCTTCTCTCGGCGGCGATGGCTGAACTCGTTTGTCAAGTGCCGTGATCCAATTACTGGGCTTCACGCCCGAGTATCCAACACGCGAGAATGCCTATCCCGCTTGTCGAGGGTTCTATACTGCCGGCGAAGCGTTTCATTACTTGCACGAGGCCCTCCTCCATCGTGGCGTCATTGCGCAACTCCCTCGTATCCAGACCGCGCCTACTGTCTCTGCTGTAGACCAGTCAGCGCAGACTGTCACACCAGAGACGACTCCACAAAACTCGCCGAACGGGTCCCCCATCGCAGCAGCTGGGACTCCACTGGTTGCGTGGGGTCATGTCGAACTTGCTCAAGATGAGCTTGGGTATTACGAGCGTGATATGAACTACTTTACGCGTAAGCTCTGCATTATATATGCTCTAATCTACGTCGGCTGAAGCTGTTATCAGGCGCTTAACGTGAAGAATCGAGAGTAGACTCTCGATTACGAGGTCGCTCATAGTTTCGGTGTGCTGCTTGTAATCACTATGTATATGCGTCTCGTATTGTATGAAGTGCAGCTTCCAGAATGCTAGTATAAGCTTGAGTACCTTTGCGATCAAATCTTTTCAGTATATCAGTGCCCTTCACGAGACGAAACAATGTGAGGCGCGAACAGTAAACACAAAGGAAGTCAGAGCTCTGAAGAAGACATTTCTATCCTACCGGATGCGGTGAGAGTCTCTGACATCTCTCAAGAATGTAAGAGGACTTACTGTCGATGAAAGAAAAGGAGTGGAGTAGATGCGAGCGGGAATTGCACGGTCTGGAGTGTTGGTATCGCCTTGAAACTTGACGCGTTGGCTGCCGCGTCAAGGCTCCCTTCAGGCGAGAACTCGAACTTCTACCGTGATACCTTCTCCCCTGGTCTTCTGCCCCGATCCTTTGAGAATCATCATCGGGCAGCGCAGCTAGATGGTCTCTGACCTCGAAAAATGTTATCAGGCTCACGAATAGCCAGGGATCTCAACATAGATCTCCGCGGAGTTTCCCGACGCGTCTTTGACGCGGTCAGGCGCGTAAAGCTAGGCGCGCTCTCACACTTCTCTTCTTTCTCCGTCATCAAGTACGATGCCGCCTGTTGTTGCTCCAGAGCGGCGTGCCAGCCTGTACGCTCGTGTGAATTCTAACCTCCAGTTTGTGCGCTATGCATCTTCTTCTCTGGCTCATACTGATATACTCGCCTCCAGGCCTCAAGCAGCTCGTCATTGGCGCCAGCATTGCGGATCCCCGGAGGCGACGTCTTCGGGGAGTGCTAGGCAAACCTCCATTCCCGCTCCAAAGTCAAAAGGACGCGGTGGCCGCAAAATAGGACGTGCAGCGCTCAAGCTTAGACGAGAAGAAGAACAGCTAAAACGAAGTGGTGCTCTTGCGTGAGTCCTACACGCGACATATATCTTGGAGTCGTGTTCTATCTCATGTACGGTTTAGGCGCTATGAGCTCTACCTTGTTCGTCGTGACTGCGCAGTAGATCCGCTGCTCTCACCGTCGGCCTCCACTACCGAGCGTCGTCTCTGGGACGAGCTACACGACATCCACCTGCTTTTACGCGAGACCCATGTACCGACAGGATCCCACAGCATCAACCACGCCTACTTCGAAACCATCGACTTTCGGCTGACAGACGCCGAGACGGCCGCATTGGCAGTCGCTCAGACACAAGGTATCACGCCCAGAACGCGCGATAAACTACTACATATCCACCGCCGGACGCTCGCCATCCTGTATACGGAACAGGAACTACTCACGATGGATGCTCCTCAGTCTCGGTCCATAGGCCGTGACGATGCATTTTTGCCTTGCGGTAGAAGGTACGTCGTGTGTAGGCACTGCACCTCGCAAGTTCTGAAGCTCCATAAGGATCAAGCACCGCGAATTCAACTCGGTCTTTGGCTGGTGGTCGAGCGAGCAGCTTCTCGACAAGTATGGCATGACGTACTCGGATGATAACGGCGCCGAGAGCGCCATGTCCTCTTCCGATGAGGAGGATAGCGAGGCGGCATCTGGATCTGGACGGGTGAGCGATGCGCTCATCAGGGACCTGTTCGCGTCGGATGTAGAGGATGATTCGGACATGGATAACTGATTGTCTGCGTTTGAGGTAAGCCTTACAGGTATGACCGCTATTCCTTGTACTGATATCCGTCCAGATAACACATGTACTTTATCGTGTATACTGTAATCCACTATCTGCTTCGTAGTGAAACTGCGTGAATGGCTGGGGCAGTGCGGCTTGCCGATGATGCCGATTTATTAGATGGCATTGCGTCCGAGGCTCCGGGTCAGGTACAACATCGTCCTTCCATTCCTGTCTTCCACCACCACCACCGGCTCGCTGCTCCCCCGACTGACAATATGTTCGGGGGAAAAAATTCTAACAAGCAGCGAAAGCGGGCAACGCCCCCCAGCACTACGTCTCAAGGTGCCGACGGTGCAAGCTCATCCGTAAGTCTTGTACTCGCTCTTACTCGGGTTATCTTCTCACTGACCCAATTTCGCAGACTGGTCTCATATATTCATCAACGAACAATACGCGCGCGGCCAACCGTCCAGCTCCTCAACCGCGTAGGGTAAGCGGAACATCTGCGTCCGGCTGCATATTGCTTATAATCTGGCTGTAGAAGGCGTCGAACGTTCTCCTCGCCGCATTAGGAAAAAAACCTGTGGAGACGGTACGCTCAATTTTGGCTGCCACATCACATGTACTGATATCCGCGCAGAGCCGCAAGCGCGACCGCACCTCCTCTCCTGAGCTTTCGGGCTCGGAGTACGGCGCGTCCGATGCTGATGGCAAGGCGTTGAGTCGGTCAAGAAGCTCTCTCGCCGTACGTGCTTGGTCTTATTCTTATCTAAGGCTCAAGGTGTCTAATATAACTCAGGCTAGCGGACGGTCGTCTCCCGATGGATCTGAGTCAGACGGCTCTCGGATGTCGACTTCTTCGTGGCACAAGCAAGTGCGCACAGCCATGACCGTATCGGCCACTCGCGTCAAAGCCACGGTCAGGCGCAACGTCGTCTCAGTCTTGCGGCATGTGTCTCCGTCATCCAGCCGCAACAACTCGCCACCGCCGCCACCATCCACACGGCCTTCGTCGCGAGCATCCTCCGAGGCTCCACCGCCTCGCTCTACAAGCCCGTCCGAGTTTGAGCAGCCTACCGAGGCGACACCGTTCACAACATCATTCCCCCCGGCCCCTTCGGCAGCGTCGGCCCTATCAGGCATCCCGCTCGACGATGGTGACCCGAATTTCGTAGACATGGACCAGGAGGTGCCCGCGGGCGCTCGTGTCGATCCAGCTGATGCAGATCGCCCAAGATCGCCCAAACGGGCTCGTGCCAAGCCATATGTACGTCTGCGCCTATTCGTTTGAAGGAAATATACTCACGATTTTCAAAGCGTGATCCTATCTTGCATTTCGCGGTGCCTCACAATCAAGACATACTGCTCCGCGAGCTCACGCGCCATGAAGGCCTCAAAGATCTACCGGTCAAGGAAAACGGCTATCCTGTCTGCGCTGGATGCAAGGCTGCCGACGGCGAGATCTACTGTAGGTCATGCCGCAAGCGCGGCTTGCTCTGTAAGCAATGCGCTTGTAAAGAGCATGCAGCACATCCGCTCCACCGCGTCCGCGTAAGTGATGAACTGGACTCTAGTCGCGCCTAAATCTAACACCGACGTAGATCTGGAACTCGAAGTTCATGGCCCCGTACTCCCTCCAGCAGGCTGGCCTTGTCACCGAACTCGGTCATGACGGCGATCCGTGTCCACACAAGAAACCGCCGGCCGAGATCACCGTCATACACACCAACGGCGTGCACCGCGTCACGTACCGCGAGTGCGAATGCATGACCATCGGTGGGAGTACAGTGCATGTTCAACTCATGCGCGCCGGCTGGATGCCGACATCTATGCTCTTCCCGCGAGTTGCTGTCACTCTGGAGGCTCTGGAAGCGTTCCATGCGCTCTCGCTTCAGGGCAAAGTCAACGCGTACGACTACTATAACGGTCTCGTTCGTCTCAGTGATGGCGGGGGTGTCGTTAAGATCAAGGTATAGTGTTCACCGCGTCTACCATGTCTGACTCTTTGCTAACTTATCGGCCCAGACTTGTTATAAAGCTTGGGTGCGAGGCACGCGCATGTACAGGCATCTCCGCCGGTACAAGCGCGCGGGGCGTGCACAGGACCCGCTGGGAGTGGCGAACACGCAGCCTGGGGAGTTGGTCAGCGAGTGTCCGGCGTGCCCGATGGAGAAAAACTTACCCAAGGGCTGGGAGGATGCGCCGGAGGGCATGAAGTATGTTATCTTGTTCATCTCAACGTACTGGTGCTGACGATCCATAGATACCTATATGCTCTGCTACTTGCTATCGACGCGAACTTCAAGTTGAAGCTCAAGGACAAGAAGGCGACCAACGTGCCGTTGTCAGACGGCAAGGGTTTCTTTCCTCCCGACCAGAAGTATAAGGAGCACCTGGCGGAACATGGCGTGAAGCAGCTCGAGGTAAGATAGACTCCTTGCTTATCCATTTCCTCCGCTCAATCCGCCCATCGTATTGCTTTAGGAACGGCATTGTACGTCGGAGCATAATGCTCTACGCCACGCCAACTTAACGTCGAAGCGCTGGGTGGTGAATGGCGTCGGCGCTTGCATCTGCGCGCGCCATCTATTGTATCGCAAGCACGGAGTCGTGGATATACCTGGTGGGGAGAAGTGAGTACAACTATACTCGGTCATTATCGTGTTCTGACGTTGTTCTACTAGGTTTGCGTGCATGGACCACTGCGTATTCGCAAGTCTCGGTCTCACGGCGAAGCTCATCAAGCGCCTCGTGCTATCGTATGACATCGTCTGTTCCTGGTCCGTCAACTTCTTCGAGCGCCTGGAGGAGATCTACGGCGACCTTTACGAGCTCCCGGATGATGCCGAGGTCATCTTTGTCATCCCGAAGTTTCACATCGAGGCGCACGGCGACGACTGCAAGTGCGCCTTCAACCTCAACTTCACTCTCGGGGCCGCGCGGACTTGCGGCGAAGGTGTTGAGGCCGGCTGGGCTGACATGAATCTTATCGGTGTCTTCACGCGCGAGATGAGCCCGGCGCACCGCCATGAAGTCATCGAGGACTTTATGCAGGCCATCAACTTTAGGAAGATCAAAAATATGTGTGCGTTGTTCCATGTCTCGCACGTCCTCGACGCTTTCTGATATACGATTAGCAACATCGTTCGCAAAGCAATTGGAGGAGGCTGTCAAGTTGAAGGAGAAGCAGACCACCGCTTTCCAGAAGCATGAACAGACGCTCGATCCGGCTGTCGTTGAGAAGTGGAAGGAGGATATACGGGTCTGGGACGAGCTACCGGTCAAGAAAGGAGGCGACAGCCCCTACCGGGAACCGATATCATGTACGTGCGCTTCCAGACTATTCCTTCTACTCGCACTGACTCGTAAACCAGCGCAATCTCTTAAAGAAGTCAAGAACAAGCTGAAGGATGAAGAAGACGCCGAACTCGACAAGGCCGTGCCGCTTAATGCCATGACGGCCGCGACGTACATATCCGCTGTCATTGCCCTCGAGGATCAAAAGTAAGAGCCTTTCACTGCAGTCCCATCCCGTGATCTCGTACTTACAACGCTCTAGGGACACTGTGACCAAGATCGCGAAGAAAAAGAACCTCTCGCTACAGGACTCCACTTCGTCTGAGGTTCGCGAGACTCAATTATTCCAGCGTATGCAGGCGTTGGAGTCGGTGCAGCATAGTTATATCATTAGCATCGGCGAGGACTTTCGCACCCGCGTAACAGGTACGTGTCCGTCATATGTCTATACAATGGTATACATCTAATATGGGCGTAGACGAAATTGACGCCGAGCTTGCCCGCGCGGCTTCCCGCGCGGATCAGCTCCGAGAAGAAGGTCATCAAGGACCCCTACCTCCCGACGCTCTTCCTCCCCCAACCTATCCCGAACCGCTCGAGTCCTTGCCCCGTGCAACGAAGCGTGGAGGCGCTCGGGCGAAACACGCCGCCGCGCTCTCAGCAACATTATGGTTGCCGTCCAATTTGCCGCCCAAAATGCGCGAGCGTCAGCTCTTCTCCGACCTCGCCACGAAAGAGATCAGGCTACGCATTGCCCTCTGCACGGACGCGCTATACAACTTGAGGCGGGCGCTTCGAACTCGACATGCCGCTTACCTGCAACACACAAAGGGCGGGCGGGCGCATGTCTCTCAGAAGCGTGCCACTCGTCAGCAAACGTCGCGCTCCTCCCTCGCGAGCGCGATCAAGCGTCAAGGGGACCGCTATCGTCGTTCGCACGCAGCGTTGATGGCCCTCGACCCGCATGGGCAGTATGAAGGCGGCAAGTGGAAGCAAATACTGCGACCACTTGCTGTGAGTGATCAGACAGCCCCACACGAGGATGAGGGCGAGCATCCAGAAGACGACGACGTCGAGGGCGAGGGCCCAGCACCGACCAACGCGTCCACTGTGCGACGCGGTCGTGGTCGCGGCGGGAAACAGAGTGAGGGACGCCGGGAGCTGTCGTGGATCTGGCAGGTTGGGCGCTACGACTCACGACAGAAATTGGCGGAAACGGACGAGGCGGCTAAAGAGGAGATGGAGAAATGTGAGTCGACTTGTATGTGCAAGTACCGTTCAATATGGCTTACATGTTCTGTCAGATGAGCGAGTGGACTGGGCGCGTTTACGCGCTCGATCTCTCCGATGGTCTGAGCAGGTTGGACTGCTGTGCGAGGAAATGAGGCGCGTGGTCACGACGCATATGAAGACCGCCGACGAGTGGGTCGCACGCGCCGAGGCCGCTGCGAGCGACTCGAATCTTGCGCGTTCGCCTGACATCGTGCGAGGTCTCGTTGCTCATGCGTACCGTCAAGCGAACGTCTACGAGACCCTAGCGAACGGCTGCATCGACAAGTGGGTGCCGTTGATCCGGAAGCATGGTCTCACCGTCGCCTGGCCTGCTTCACTCGCCACCCGCGTCGCGGTAGCCGCTCAGGCCGCGCCCGCACCACCCCGAGTTCCGAAAGAGAAGGGCAATGCAGGAATACCCCGCGAAGAACCCGATCTCGAGGATCCTGAAGACGACGAGGAAGAGAATGAGAGTAACCCAAGCGAGGACGAGGGCCTCGCCGCGATCGACGAGGAGCTTGCTGACGACCCCACGGATGATTTTGCGGCAGTGACGGATATCGAAAGTGATGTAGATTGATATGTTGTATTGTATTACAGTTGTATATACGCTAGTGTGAATCATACTCGAGAAAGCTGTCTTCGCGCCAAAGACGAGTCCGTTCCTGGGAAATTGGACTTAGACGCGATTTGGTACGACGCGCGACGTAGGTAGCAAGTAAAGTGGCGCGGATTCTTGTTACTTGCGGGCCACACGTCATCAAGACTTGCCCTTACTTGCACTAACTTGTCCAGCTGCGACTTCGCGTCAGAACTGTGAAGTCGCGACTGAGCAGCTTAGGCGTAGCCCCGCCTAAGCTGCTAAGTCGCGACTTTACAGTTCTGACGCGAATTCGCAGCTTTGACATACGCTCTCTTGCCGTAGGTCATGCAGAAAATAATTTGTATTGCAATTGTATATACATCCTATGTGGATACGCTAAGCTACTTGAATCTGGCTTTTACACGCGACGGGGGAAGAGACCGGGAAGAAAAGCAGATTTTAATTTAATAGAAAGAATTAGAGGAGTCCTCTACTCCCGAGAAGGACCGAACGGAAAGAGGTCGAGTAAAATAACAATGATGTGTAGGACGGCAAGGCGAGGAGGGGAGCGGGGACGCAGGTGCGGTCTCGCTGCGGTGACAAGTGCGAGTATAACCGCAGTCGGCTGGACTGGACGGTAACGACCGCCATTCCAGTACGACACTCGGAATAAGCTCGCACGGCGGGCTAGGGTGGAGGACCCAAATTGGTGGGCAGGGTAGGACGAGCGCGGGCGCGCGTGCGACTGACGGTGGATGAGCCGGGTGTCGTGGATCGCGAACGGGATGGTGGAAATCGTATCCGGGTGAGACAAGCCGATAATAGAGGGGGGGAGCAAAGCGCGGTACGAAGCGCGGGGCTGGCGGGCGCGGGCAGCGGCGGGCGCGGGCAGCGGCGGGCGCGGCTGACGGCCGTGTCGTGGATCGCGAACGGCGTAATTGGTATCATATCCGAGAAGAAGTAGCCGATAATGAAGGGGGGAGCAAAGCGCGGTACGAAGCGCGGGGCGGGTGCGGCCAGCGGTGGGCGCGGGCGCGAGCGGTGGGCAGCGGGCAGCGGGAGGAAGCGGGTGGAAAGCAGTACAGCAGCGGGTAACGACGGGATGGCCTAGCCGGACGGCGGGAATGATGGGGTCACGGCAGTGGCCGCGCCGAAGGTTCGCAGCCCTACTCGGCATTGGCCGACAGGGGAGTAGCCGTGGTAATCGAGGTTCCAAGGTATTTACAATAAACAATAGCGAGGTTCCGAGGCTACCCAATATGGTAGGTGTGAGTGCAAGTGGCCATGGATTCTGGCACTTGCAATTGGTGAGTCTTTCCACTCACTTGCATTCACTTACACACCAACTTGTATAGGGACCGCACTCGTAGATCAAGCCTACACGTTTCGCAAGGAAATTAGGACTCACACCGCCGGCTATAACCGCGCTCGCCTCGCTAGATCTAAAGTTCAAGCACAAGGACACGTCGTAAGGCAGCATGCGCAGCTATACATCGCCTGCCGTCCTCGACTGCTGCGGTCCTGCGATGGCGTCGTAGAGAGGGACGACGTAGCCCGGGTCTATCGCGTTCTGAAAGAGTCTGAAATCCGTTGTGATACGTCTACTTATGACCCTTCCGGTGATGAGGCGTTCGAGCTCCCCTGGTTCTGGAGACTCGATCGCAAGAGCGGAGAAGACGACGACGCCTACGTGTCAAAGAGTACGTGCTCCTAATTTATGCACCATATCCCATAAGAGGCAGACAATACCCCTTTCTAGCGTTCATGTTGCGATGGATACAGGCGAGGTGCACGGTTGAGCGCTGCAAGGAGGAATTGATTATACTCCCTTTGGAGATGGAGAGGTGCATTCTCGGATACGAACACCGCGCTAGGCAATGGGAGCGTCGCTCCGCGGTGCCTTTGTCTGCCGGGCATCGCTGTTACGCATTATGAAAAGAGAATGTCTGGCTCAACATGGCGGAACGCGCTCGCCGGTCATTCACCCAGGTTCTCGGGCCGAGCGTCTTATTCATGTAGTCATAATCTGCCTAGAGTCAATTATACGTGACTCTCTACAGGGCTGCTCAGAGGCTCGTGAAATAACACACCTTAGATCCATGGCATTCACAAGCGAAGCTTGCTGCTCAGAGTTTTCCTCGAGCTGTTGGATGATTGATTCCAAAACCCATTGTAACTGCATCGTTGTGGTCAGTACGTCGTTCAGGTGACCTAGCGGCTGCGGTGTCGTAACACAGGTTCTTGAACAAGGGTCGTACATCTTCTCTTGCCAAAGAATCTACACCATCCTCAGTTCGTCTCTTTATGTAGTTTGGGATACGTACTTCTGGCATCCGAATCATATATTCGGCCGCCTTCACGGCTTCTGCGTCAGGATGACCACGCTTCCCTATAGCGCTGGCATCATAGTCCCATTGAGGGCTAGCGGCAACATTTTCAAGGCAAACAGCGGCATAAACATCCAAGGGCTCGTTTCCCGTTCGGGTCTGTGATGTAGAACGAGGTGTTGAAGGGGGGCTGCGCCCCGCACTGCCGCGGAGTTCCGCGGCCCCACAATCTGCCTTGTAGGCGTGAGCGGCTGCGAGTCTTGTCAAATGCGACGGCAGAATGTCAGATAAGGCGAGACGACCGCTCAGCAATACGTTGCGGTACTAAGGTAAAGTTGAGCGGCGTATGTATTTGATCCCGGGGAACTCACGTGTTGGTCGGCGAGGCAGGCAATAAAGGTAGCCGGAGTGACATCCCCGCCACGCTCAACCACTTCAGCGCGGCGAGAGAGTATGAGGCGCTCTTCTGCGAGCATAAATGCCTGAATCCAAGTTCAGACGTTCTGTTATTGACGTCAAGTGGAAAAGGACTGCCATATTTCTCCCGCAATTCTGACGGTAGGTCCTCCGCGAGCAAAGAGCGTCCAGCAGCGGACTCAGAGACATTAGACTCAGCTGATAGAGCATAAATATTTGAGCACAGTTGTGAGCTGCACATGCCGAGCAAGTGTGATGATTGTCGGAAAGAACCCGCGCGCGACGCGTCCATGTGCCGCGCCGCTCACGGATTCCCGGACCGACTTCCGCCGTTCTCTCGCGTTCTCGCGTACAGGAGGTGTTCCGGAGGCGCGTTGATCAATCCGCGAGCTCCGCGGATGGCCCGCGAGAGCGTGGGCGCCGTCGGCGGGGTGGCCCGGCTTAGGTTTTTTGTCTCTATGACAGAACCTAGTATTTTTATGAGGTTATTTTTGCATGAGGGAATGCACAGGGAACGGCTATGACGAAGAATATTTGTCCCGGCCAATCATGTGCCTCGGTCCGTATAGCTTCTTCTAGCACTGCCATCGCCGTAGCGGTCTGCGCTTCGACGTCAGTCCCATACTGCGGCGAGTGGAGGGGAGATAGCTTTGCATGATGCCGGAGATAGAAGTAGCGCCAGGGTCGAGGCGAATGCGGAGCTGATTGCCGCCCGGGCGAAAGCAAAAAGGAAATACGACGAACTGCGTCGGCGTATTGCGAGGGGTCCGATGGCTGAAAAGATCCCAACTGAAATCAGTGCAGCCGCGTAAGGCCCCGTTCGGCAACCGAATTACCGCGCGGAAAGCTGCTTTCTGCCGTCTTTCCGGCATCAGTCGCCGCTTCCCGCCAGCCAAATCACCGCGAACAGATGCCGGAAAGCTGGCTTTCCGGCCGAATGGACTTGGAAATTCGGTTGCCGAACAGGGCCTAAATCGCATGGTCAATCAATGAGAATTTACAGCAATGAATGTAGGAGAGCCTCATTAAACAAGAGTCAGGTAGCGAGGACAATCACACGCAGAAATGAATAAGAATCTGCATGGGTTTCGGAATGAAAGAAGATGTAGTACAACATGTGCATGTCGTACGCGTGAGAAGAGCTGTCAGTGTCATGGTTGTGAGCCTACGGCTTACAATGGACATATGTCATGAAGCCTACTCTGAGAGTTTTATCGCGGCGGCCGACGATGAAGAGAAGCGACCGAAAGAGTGGACGATCAGTGTGCACAAGTCGTGAGATATGTACTATTTCAGCCCCAAATGGGTCCAAAAGTTGCCCGTGTCTCGAGCCGTTCGGCCGTTGACGTAGGAGAAAGTCCGCGAGCGCCCGGGGAGCGACGGATCGCTCCGCTGCAACGCAGACATTCGGACTTGGCACTTCACGTCTCCGCCAGACAGTTGCTATTGCATGAATCTACGGTCGTCCGCTTCGAGCGCTAACGCAAGAGAACGCCCGTAAAGAGGCGCAAATCAATAGCATGAAGGGCTCGCTTTGGGTGGTGACAGAGCAAAACGCAAAGGAGGAAGCTTCAGAGTCATCAAGCAGCGTCGCATCGAAGGTCTGCAAACGTATAATGTATCTCGAGCGCGAGTCAAAGCGAAACTGATATACGCGCCGTTACATCGAGCAAGGCGTGGCCGAGAAGAAACAAAAACACAGAATACACCTTATTTAGGGTCGTTAGTGCGTGGCTCTATTGCCCGTCTCCACCAGGCTAGAAGTGTCGGCCACTAGCAATCATTCCACAGTCGGCGCCCTTGCTACCAAAAAGTTCCACTCCTCCTCGTAAGCATCGATGTTATCGATCAGCCGCTGTATCTCCCTAACCTGCACCTCCAATGTGGATCTGACTGCAATGAGCGCAGTGCGACGTGCGATATCGGACAGGGATCGCCCGTAGTGGTCAATCGCAACGAGTTCGGCATCACTACTGGACTCGGCATCGAATATGCGTTGGAATTCGAACTGCCAGTTGACAGGACCGTTGGAACGTTGGCGGGGAAACCCGTCTGTCTCCGTGGAAGACGCGGTGCTAGCGGCGTCCTCGCGGAAGTCGGCTGAATGAGCCACGTTAGTGTGTTTCTGTAATGTGGACACGGTAACGAACGCCCACAAGAGCCCTGAGTCATCCCTTCTTGATCCCGTAGCTGATGTTCCTCCTCATCTGGAGTGATACGCCTACGCTTACCGCGCGAGGCGTCGGTCTCATTCGCCTGAGGCTGAACGGAGTTGTTGGCAACGTGTGGTGTAGATGCAGAAGCGCGTTGGAGTGCATTAGAGAGAGTCTCTGGTCGCATAGCGCACATAAATCCCTTGTCCAGTCGATCTAGGTAAGCTACTTGTTGGCTAGGCAAGGGAGAGAGAAAGACGAAGGCGTCAGGCGAGAGCGGGCTGCGGGACTGATATTTGTCATTGTTTGGCATCGTGCGATGACGCACGGTCGGGCCGGCGGCGGCCGGCGGCCGCGATCCATCGGAGGAAGCGAGAAGTACCTGGACCACGGAACGGAACGGAACGCGCTCCGTTCACTCCGACATGCGCGCGCCCGGTTGCTTGCCGGCTCAACACAGTCTCTGAGTATTATGGTGCCCCGAGCCCTCACTTCTCCAGTTCTCCACACAAAGTAGACGCGTACTCTGCAACTGCCGCTGTATCTATACGCCGCTTCATTTACATCGTCAGTGCTTCAGCTATTATCTCGCCTCCGGTCTCATGTCGAACGGTTTGCTGGTCCTAAGTATTGCGGCCCGCTGCATAGCACTTGCCGTGCACCTGGTAGTGTCATCTGTCGTAATCTAAGTCTGGTAGCGAAGTGATACCCTTTGCAGTTGTGGCTAGCAGCGCGCACTGAGCGACGCCATCCAAGACGCGAACGGCTTGACGTTGACGCGTCCGAGCCGTCGCGCCGCACGGACGCTTAGCCGGCGCCTGTTGCTTTGCACGGACTGACTGCAGTATGCCGCCCTACATCTGATTCCAAGCCCATCTATGCGCCTAGTGTTGGGTCTCTACTCTGCGCTCAGGGCCGTTTGCGCCGCGCGGCCAGCTCGCCGTCAACGGATTCCACATGTCCGCACAGTACCACACGCGGCCACTGGTCATGCAATACGCTGTCTCTACAATGCTTTGCACCACGGTTCGTCTTTGACATCGTCCAGTTCAGGTGCTGAGAAAGACTCTACTCCTGTGGACTGACGGCAGCACTGGGATTCATCAAGCATTTTACCAGTCAAGCGAGTCAAGCCATCAATACCATAATGAGCACATTTGATGCGTTGCCTCCATCAAATTATGCAAGAGCTTGACCATGCGCATCCCCCAGATGACGTTTTAGCCATTGCGTACATGTAGCCACAAACCAGCCGCGGTCGAGTCCGTACAACGTCTCGCTGGCCCTCATGTCGACGCTCCGGTCGCAGAGATGCAAGATATCTTGCGTGAGGAGGCGTACGAACAGGCGCGCGCTGTGCATCAGTCGCTATAGCTCGTAGCAGTCTTGTTGAATTATGCGTAATGGCGGCAATGTTGGGGCCGATTCGCGAGCAAGTTCGAGCGGTGCACGTTCAAACGACATGGAAGATGGATCCAAGCTATCAAGCTATCGAGAGTTCCACGTCTGGCATAGTCAGTTGCGCGAGCGGCCGATGAACTAGATGTTCAAACCTGCGGAAGTTAGTCTCAAAACATCACACTTACTGGACCGTTCCCCCGCAGTTCCGCCTTCAGGCGGAACCCGATCGAACGGCCTCGCGGAACCGGATCAATCGCGCGGAAGCTCGGCCCCCCCCGCACGTGTTCCGCGCGACGCCTCTTGCTTCTAACCGCGATGGAGCTCTCAGCGGGTTTCGCTACCGACATAGATATGCTGAAAACGCTCTTAGAGTATTGGGAGGGTCGTTTAGCAGACATATCTCTTACGCTTCTCTCTGCCTTCCCCGCGCTCGAAGTCCAATCCCGTCCCGTCCTAGCTTTACGATCGGAATTCGTAGGAGTATTCAGCAGCGTCGCGACTCAGATACTGAATACTTAGCGCTCAGGACGTCATGCTCGCACTTTATGGCCACCTTCGCCTAGATGGCCATATGCCGCTTCCCCCTGCGCACGCCTTCACCTCCCAGTTAATGCGTGCTCTGGATGATCCCACCGGCACACTCCTCCGGGATATGAGGAACTTTCGCCCTCTTCCGCCTCGGACGGGCAGTGAATCACGCCTGGCTGCCAGCATTTTCCCCAAGTGGTATACGAACCCAGAGATAATGTCTCCGGACTGGAAACCGTTTCTCCTAGGCCGACATATCTGCGATTTCTACGTCAGTATGATGACTTCCGTACGTCGTTCATCTCATATTCTTTCCGTGCACAGCGATCGGCTCAACGCTGAGGTTTCAGAGCCCTAAGACGCCTTTGTTGATCCCACCCTTGACGGACGCACCCGGTCCGTCCGCGCAAGACGCGCGCGCCGGTCGCGCGAGAACTGCGGCAGAGTTTCGGGGGAAGATGGAAAACATTTCTGAAGACCTCGTGAAAATCGAGAAAGAGGTTTCTACTATCCTGCTCGAGGCGCAAAGTCTTTGGGAAGAGGACTTCCGGTTGCATCGAGAGACCCACGATCAATGGGAAGCAATCGGGTCACCCTAAGTAGATTGCCGTACTGCTCTTTAGTCTATATGCTATGGAACGTACGTAAAATCATCAGATAAAAGCTCCTGAATAGTCACACTACTAGGCAGATTCAGGCCGAACTTGTGATGGACTGCTTTGCGAGCGTAGCAGGCTATGCACATCCTTTCCTTCTCCGATGGGGACACGGTGTGCAAGTGAACGTGACCGGAGAAGAGGACGATTGTGCCCGACTCGTACGCAAAACGGACCCCAAGACCGGGGAGCTCTAAAGCCGTTCGCGGGCACCCGCCGATGCTCAGGAGCAAGTCGAACATGCCGTAGCCTCCGCTACTCTTATCGCGATGTTCCGGCGTCTCCCGATTGCTGATGACCGACACCGCAGAGAAGGCAAAAGCCCACTGTTCTGCAATGCTGGCGAACTCATCTTCTTCGCATAACTTTTCCAGACATCGAAGGCTGAGCTCGAACTGCTCCGGATGTACAATGGCCAGTGCGCAGGAGAGAATTATTGCGCTATCCTCCATCTCGACCACCCAGGCTTGCAGTAAGTGTTGCGTCCTGGTTGGGTCACGCCCTAGCGTAGCGAGATCTTTTGATGGGACTATAGGCTCCTTCATTGCCTGCTCTATTTGTCAACGCTTTGTGAGTGAATTGAGCTATCATCCCGTACCTCGCGTCCTCGCATCTGCCATCCAGGACTCGCTGTGAACAAGCCGGCGCCAAATATCTCACAGTCCTTTCGAAAAAAACATTCCTTCTGTCGCCAACCGTCCGGGGACTTGGGGTCACCCGGGCGCGGTCCGTTACGTTCGAGGCAAGGTTTTATGCGCTGTGCGAGACAAGCAATTTCCGCCTCGCCGACTGTCGTGAGCGCCGTCGTCATGCGAGGTATAGCGCCTATTCTCGTACCTGTCTTTTGGGCTCGATTACCCCCGGAAGGTAGAGGGCCTGCACACGGCGCTTCTTGTCCATGAGGGCACATCCTTCGCGGATGGTTTCCGCCACGTCGATAGGCCGAAATTGCTCACGAAAGTCTTGTTCTTTAGTCGCCTTGGCGCCATTCTGCGTTCTTGTGACGTCGTAATAAGCCTCAGAGTCCACGTCCCACATGTCTGCTCATCACGGTTAACTTGCCCTATATCAATGGGACGGACAACGCTCACAGTGCCTTTGTGACGCCCTGAGCACATGGTCTGCGAGGCGCACAAGTTCACTTCGCAGGTGTTCGTAACGCGAGGAAAGCGAGATATCAGCTACGTCCTCGCCGAATTTGAGCGCGTCAAACATGTCTCTCGCGGCGAGGCCGGCGGCGCGAATATCGGGGGCGATGGACGGCATGTCAGAGATATCTGAAGACCGGTCAGTCCGCCTTTAAGCGCTCAAAGCGTTTCAGGTCTCCGCGGCCCGGATCAACCGAGCTCGCCTAACATACCAACGGCCACTCAATCGGAAACTGAATATGAGCCACAATACAGCTGCGCTGTCACACTCATCGCTTCGAAAATATGTCTCCCGCTCTGCGCACGGATGCACCGCGCGTGCATCATCCAGCACATCTCTATGTAATTTTCCTACATCGTGATGAAAAGCAACGTCATTACTCATCCTGCGTCATGTTCATAGCATAATAATTTAACAGCTTGAGAACATGTCATATGTCACGAAGATGTTCGTTTACTCGTCGCGGCGCGCGTTTTCGCAGCGAACCACACTAGCCCTCTCGGAAGCAAGCGCAGCGAAGTTCAATACAAAGGTATCAATGCGGGGCAGCCTTGTCCACACCTTTATCTATCTTAGCCTGCACGCACTTGACTGCGCCCAACCTCGGTAACGACATCAGCCCGGATTGAAGCATGTCCACCGCCGTCGCTGTGACTATGGGTTCGTATACACACCCTCTATGCGTCGCGCGTGTTGCTCTCAACGTATCGCTTTTGTCGATAGCTTCGCCGACCGAGTCGAAAGATGACGTTTATCCCTTCGCTTGTGGGTGGAGTTGGCGACACGACCCCGCCTTCTGATCTATGCAACGCGCAATCCTGAATGGCCAAGAACGGCGTTTATAATTTGTATACTCTCGTCACTCGTGGTCGCAGACTTCGGCGACGCGATTCAGCTCCGCACTCGAGCAGAAACTCTTCAGAAACGCGCGCGTCGACATCTATATGAAACGGATAGCTCAGTCCCAGTCGCAGTTAACCGCCCGTATCGCTCGTCTCATCTGGATGCCGCATAACCCCACAACCCGGTACAAACCTTATGCTTGCAAGCTAATGTAGGAGGCCTCGACATGCGGCGCGTGTAGGTATGCTCTCCAGCCAGGCCGATGTCCGGCACCGCGTTAAGAGCAGATATAAGATCCTCTGCTCTCCCTAGTAGAGCAATACCATCTAAAAACTTCACTACGTGGATTCATGGCGCATAGCCTCTCGGTATACCGGGCGCATGTATCGGGATTGCGGGGCCGACGCATCGTCGCGCTTCTCCGCCCGTCTTCACCCCGCCCGTCCGATCACGTCCGCCTCATGCGGCTTTCTCACGCACTCACATCGTCGCCCTCTTCCCTTGAACAACGCACGGAGAAGATTTGAAGCGCGCAGAAAATGTAAATCGTCGCGCGACTCTTGCGCCACAGTTTATTCTGGGTGCAGATGCAACGTTCAGTGGGCCGGGCCAGTTCGCAGACGGGTTCCGCAGCTCCTGTTCCGGTAACACGAGCCTCCGCGAGCTCCGAGTTCGACTCCTCTTTTCTTGTGAATACGATACTGACATATATCCCGCGGCCGTCTGTCAGCCATTGTACAACACAGCCCAAATTTATACGAATCATCATACATCAGGATAATCTACAGTCTATGTCAACTCAAGCGCCGCTGCCCCCCGTAAGCCCTCGCCGTATCCCGAACGCCGTGCTGAGCGCAGGATGCTCGCTAAAAATGGCCTTAATTATTGGGATAGAGCAATACCGTTGAGTATCAAGCGCCATGTCGGATAGCACTCCTGAGTGTGGCCGTCAGGTTTTGCTGTCAGGTGCGATGCGCCGCTCCCCGCCTGGGGCAGAGAGCGCCGTCCGGCGGCGGGGAGGAGTTCTCGATTGCGATGGCGGCAGACGTTGCGAGGGCGTTGTCTTAAGTATCCAAATCAAACGCTGTTCCTTTGACATCAAAGCGAGCTACGCGGCTTGGCGGATAGGGATCGGACTGTGCGCATCGATGCTGACCTTCTCCGGCTCTAGCGTGGTTGCGGACTTGTGACGACATGATCGCCGTCAGTCGATCTTCCTAAACCTCCGTGTGAGTAACTGAAGTAAGCATGTCAAAATATTGTTATAAACGCCGGGAACACATACGCTCGTACCAACGCAGCCGGACAGACGACGAGGAGCGCCGCTCCTCGTCGTCGGGAGCAAGGCGGAGTTTCTTGATTCTTGGCCGTCTCCCGCCGACTCTCCGTCGGTTCGGCACTTTCGGGGAACGCGACGCGCTCCGGCGGTTGCGGAATTCGCCTTACCAATCTAATCGTACGTCATCGCTGTGCTAGCTGACAGCGGGCACGTATGCACGCGGCAATCAAAAGCGACTGAGAACATTGGAAGCGGATGCGAGTAACAGTCGGCCGTGCGGCCAAGCCGTTAAGAAATCGGCCACACGTCCTCCCGGACCACCCGTCCGTTACCCCTTTTTTGGCTAACTAGCAACGTTTCAGTGATCGTTGATCCCTTGCTAGTTAGCCAAACGCCCGCC